TGGGCAGGGGCGCTGCTGGGCGTGTTGGAGCACCACATGCACTGCTACACACACACACACACCATGGGGACTTTGTGAAGGACCCTCACAGCCCAGAAAGAGGACGTTCTGACCTGTCCAACCTCAGGGTAGCTCCTAGCAGCAAGCGGGGAAGATGACCCAATGTTTGGCAATAATCTGAGCATTTGCCTCATCCTTGACGTGACAGGTGTAAGGTACTGTATTTGTCTTAGTCAGCTGCCTCTCAGGCTGGCAATGACTCCAGATGTGCCCTCCCAACAACGTGCTTTTGCAGCCTTTGCTAGGCCAGGCCGGGCGGTTGGTTGGAGTTGGTCGGTATCTCCTAGCGGTGTGCATTTGGCGCTGTTTTGGATCATTTTGTTTGGTCAAGGGTTTGTCATATCATGAGCTCTCCTGTGGCAGAACCAGCCAAGTGGCTTGGAGCCAGTAGTGTCAGGGGCACCTTCGGAAGGACCCTGTAGATGGAGTGAAGCCACTCCCCAACACCGTAAAGACTAGGAAAAGACATGAAAAGACCTTATTTTGAGTGGTTGGTGGTCCAGTTCTAGGTATAAAGAGATTAAATTTCAGGTGGTTTACCAACACCTTTCTTCCAGTGATGGGCTTTGGCTCAATGGCTTCAGTGGCGGCGGTCTCACCACATAGCCGTCGTAGCATGCATATTTCTGGACCACTAGAATCTCAAGTAGAGGTCACTTCCAGGCACTGCAGGTGGGCTTTTGTGAATCTTCTCCCAGGGCGAAGTCTTGAAGATATAAAGTGCTACGTAGTTGAAGAATGGAGGGGGGTTCCATGGCGAACTTGGGGCGCTTTTGACTGCAATTTCTTTTTGTAGTGGAGCCACCCTCATGGCCGGCCTCTATGATGACTTGCCAGAGCCACAGTCGGAGCAGGCCTCAGGGCAGGTGACCAGCGAAAAGACTGAGGCTCATTTGGAGTATGACTGGAAAGATGTGCCTCGTCCGAAGGACCCTGGAAACGCAAAGCTGTTTGCTCTGGATGATGTCAGCCTTGAGCATGTTCTGAGCTTTCTATCTCTACTGGATCTCGGAAATGTGCTGCCCGCGGTTTGCCCCTTGCTGCTCTTCCTGCGTGGCGTGTGGCCGGAATGGCGACGCTTCGTTCAGCCCCTCCGGCGTGCTGGGGTGGAGACGATACAACTGCTGCAGGTGGACACTCGCAGCTTGGCAGAGCTCTGCCACCTGTCTGAGTGCCTCAACCACTTTGCAGCCGAAGGCTTCCGGGGCTTCAAGCCGCGCCTGCCCAGCTTCGCACCCGATCGGCACGCGCTGAGCTACCGCGAGCTGCCGATCCCGAGGGTGGTCTGGTCGCTGCACAGCGAGGGCTTGTCCCGGTGGCGTCGTACCTGCGCGTGCGTGCTGGAGGTTAGCTCTGCACTGCTGCCGCCCTGGGATCGCACCCCCAAGAGGCAGCTTTTACCGCGGAAGGTGCGCCTGCTGCTGGGCGTCAGCTTGTGGTTGCCACCCAACGAGGTTGCGGCAGAGCATTCCTTCCCGTCCTTGTACCTGAATGCCGCCTTGATGGATCCTGAGATCTTTGAAGCGCTGGCAGATCGATTTCCGGAGAATCCACCGTGCCTGGCGGCGACCTGTGAGGCCTTGCTCCTGAGGATGTGGGCAGACACGTCATCGACTCTGGAGGATTGGAGCTGGCGCGTTTGCTTCGGCCTGCTGGGGTATCGACATCCGGGACACGGTGACATGGAAGGCTATCGCCAGGAGATTCAGACCCCAGGCCGAAAGCGCTGGCGGCCGCCGGAACTCTGCTTCGCTCGAGAGGAGGACCGACTCGCAGTGTCCAGCTTGAGGATTTTGCTGCGGACGAGGCGCTGCTTGGGGCTTCTAGAGTGAGAAAAAAGCACGCCTGCGCCGCCTGCACCACAGCGGTTTTTGCATTTCTTGGGCGGTTGAACGTGAATATCCCCAACCCCATAAGCGATGTTCATCATTGAGTTGTGGCATGAAGTCAGGGATGCTTTGGCATTCTGTGTCCTTGGGCACCGGACGTTGGTTGAAGTACTGTACATTTGCAGTATATTTGTCAAACTTTTTGCTTTTTGGCAGCTGAAGCTGAAGGCAAGGTCAGGTTTGATCGGAATACCCGAAAAGGTTTTGGCACGCTATTTTCTGCCATCACTGTCCCCAGGATTCGGCCGTTTGTGGTTGGTTTCTTGCAAGTGGTCGACCTTGCATGGCTTCCTTTATTTTTGCCCTCATGTCGGCAGGTTCATCGTTCACTTAGCACAAGAACTCAGGCTTCTCCAGGACGGATTTTTGCTGGTAGCCGAAGACCCCGAAGCCGCCGAGCGGCAGCCGTCCCGTCGCCGGTTCAACGGTTCAACGGTTTCAGAACGACGCCGGTTGAACCGCCGCTGCCAGGGAGGTCTCCGATGAGGTGGGCGCCAGCACCACGGGGGGCGATCTGGGCAAGGTGACCTTGGGTGCTTTGGCTCCCGAGCTGGAGGACCCCCAAGCGGGCGGGGTGAACGGGTCGGCGGCTCCCGGGCGGTCGGTTGGGGTGGTCTTCGGAGACGAGATGAGGACGAAAGAAGGGGAAGGAGTCGGAAGGAGTGAAGGAGGTTCTTGAGTCTTGAGAACTGTGGTGACCCTAAGTGGTTTCATGGTGACTCTGCACTGTTGAAATCATTCGAAGCAGGAGGTGGGCTTCTCATTGTCCATGGGCGAGATTTCTGAGCCCTTTGAGAGCCCGGAGGGCTTTCACCTGCTCATGCGCATTGCCTAGGGCCGGGCGTCAGCTACAACGATACACTTGGCTCGAGTTGGCATGGAGTTCATTGGAGTTCTTTTGAACAAGCGAGGTCCGTGAGCTTTTTGAGCCTTAAACTGCATACGACCACGTTTGGAGAGCTCTCGTGCTGTCTGGAGCGGTCGGAACAAGCTGTGTCCACCATCTCGCAGAGCGGCTTCAGGATTGACCAAGCGATCCAGCAAAAATTGCGTTCACCGCAGTGCTAGACATTTGCCAGCATTCCAGGCACCATCAGAGGCCTAGTGATGGTACTAATTATGGGTCCTTGAATTCATGTTGTTGTATTCTGGGGCAACGAAGTCAAATACCAAGAGAAAGGACAGAACTGACAAACCACACCAAACAGCACAATGACACCACCCAGACCATCCATGTATGGCATATTTTAGCTACATTGAGATGTTTTTTGGTTGTATAGATCAAGGGGCCTCACAAAACCCAACAAAAAGGGACAATTGATACCAGCATAGGCCCCAAACAGTTTCAACGGCACCCTTTTGTTTCGATATACAGAGCCCCAAGAGGTAAGCTGTTCGGGAACAAACCGCCCAGCCGCACCGAACGCGGACTGTCCGCGTCCCTCCCAGGGCCGTTTCGGCCGATGCCTAGCGGAGCTGGGGAGGAGAGGGATGTCAGGGGAAGGCCTCCAGGTACTCCACCCCAGACCAGTTGGCACAACGGCTTAACTAGCACCCGCTAAGAATTCGTCTTCAAGGGCCTGGGGTGGGTCCATGTTTAGATGTGATTGTTACACATTTTGTCGGGGGCCAGGTTTGATACCCAAAGCGGGGAGGCGCCCTTGGCCGGTTTGTCCGTGCACTTCGTCCATTCTTGGATACAACTCTGGGAGTTTCTCGTTCTTTGGGGCTTGAGTGGGACAGCTCTGAGTAGGGCGACCGGCTGAGTTCATCCCCGGTCGCCATGCACCTCAAGAGGTTGGCTGTGTAAAGGTCTGAGGCCCCCCTTTCTTCGTTTGCGTTGATCCGAGATTCTCCTAGGAACTGGAAGAAGAGCTTACCACTTATTGTATACATATGCTATTGGCCTGCCTTGGAGTCTTTGTCTCCTATGTGTCCGGTGTCCATTGTGCCGTATCTTGCACCACCTATAAACACAGCCAAAGGGCCAGAGTCCGCACGTTTCATTTGGAGCACCCTTCCCAGTTTGCGCGTTTGTCAAAGTGCGCGGGCCAGAGAACAGGACCTGCGGCTGTTGGGAGGACGTCTTGGAATCCAAGGACGGCGGGAATCCGCAGGAAGGAGCTGCGCAGGGAGGGGCGGACCCTCCACGGGGTGGGTCGGAAACCGAAGAAGGACACCGAGTGCCGACCTCGTCCGGACTTCGCGACTGTGACTTCGAGGACTCGAGCTTGGGCCGGCCTGAGGCGGGTGGCTCGGGTGGTGGAAGCGGTAAGGTCTTTTCGGGCGAGCCAGGCTCCTGGTCGTTTCTGGTTGGCAAGCTTAGCTGAGCCTGCAGATCTGTCTTTATACCGGTGTGGGTGAAGAGGGGGGGGTCCAGCCTCCAACCAAAGATTTCAGTATATTGGTTTTCATCGTTTTTCCTTAAGTTGGTTGAAGTCTTTGGTACTACCCTGTTCTCAGACCCTCACAAGTAATGAGTCATTTGGGCTCTCAGGGAGTGCTACACTCCCCATGATGCTTGGATGGTCTGGCGATGTCGCTCGTGAGGTCTGGCGCCCAAGTGCCCAGGCTCGGCAGGCGGCATCGAAGATGTGGGTCTTGGGTCGAAGAGATGTTTCCATTGGAGAAGAGGAGTCAAGGAGGATGGAAAAGGATGGGACAGGTCCGAAGTCTGTCAATCTTCTACTGCACTCCCTAGTCATGATGAAAAAGCCAGACTGTCGGAGGAAAAGGCAAACTTTGTTTTCCAGCTGACCACTGGCGTTGCCTGGCTCGAACACCGCCTGAGGCGGAGAGGCGGAGGTGTTGGTCTCATCCTTTGACACAGCCGGGCTGGGCATCGTGGCATCACATGGCATCCCATCCCATCCGCCATGACGTCAAAGAATCGATTTCTTTCCATTCGAAGTGGGGCCGACCCTACTCGGAAACTCCGTCCAACGGCTAGTGGACCTCCCAAATGACTAGAACTGACCAGTCGGGGATGTTAACTGTTAAAGGATTCGATGGGCTGGGATTCAGGCTTTGACCTCTACCCGATCCGTTGCCATGGCCATGTCGCCATGGATGTTTCTTATGCTCTTGCGGCTGAGTGCTGGAAACTTTCAGGTGAACTCTGGCAGTGAGATGCTTGGACTGGAAGTTTCTGTAGTGGGACAATCATCCTCACGCGGCTGATTCTAGAGCTGGAGTCACAGCCTCCCCTAGTGAGTTGAGAGTGTTTAGGACCTCCCCGCATTTCCAAATCCCAGCGCAGCCTAGCAAGAGGAAAACAAGTATGTTTTGGAGTTATGCAGTGGTATTTTTGACTTGGAACAACGTTTAGAGAAGAACCAGCACCGAACCGGGCCATTGCACCAGCACCGAACCAGTCTTCGGTCTTTGGCAGTAGGTTCCTTGGCGACCCCAGGATGCGTTTGCCTCCTGTGGGGGCGCCGGGCGCGAACGCGGTGAACTTCACGATGTATTTGTCCGACCTGAAAGACTTCGATGAGACTCGCGAGGTGGTCACGGTGTATGCCATCATGTCCATTGAATGGGAGGATTTGCGCTGGGCGAATGCATCTCAGCAGAAGGTCGGGGACATCTCATGCGAAGGATGCGAGCGGAGCGCTGGGAACCTGACCCGGATCGTGCCATACACGACGCCAATTGTAAGTGGTTCAACCGGTCTTAGTGAGGCATGATTTGGAGTCAGACCTGGTACGGCTCTCGGTTAGCTTATGACTACGATTTTTTTGGTTCGCTGTGAGGGTCAAAGTGAAGACGTGGCAGAACTTCGACACTGAAAATTGGAGGTGTCTTGAGGGACAACTGCCGACTGTTTGAGCCGAAATCACCCTGCCAGGTGGATGAGACTTGTAGTCTCAATGCCTGCACTTCCCAGGAGTACCTGGATGCCCGAAAGACGGCTGCCTCAGACCTGCAGGGTCGTTTGGACCGAAGAAGGATCAAATCGTTGGGCGGTAGCCCCAGGTTTCTCCAACGTCTGAAGAGGAGTGAGAAATCCATGGACTCAATTCCCCCTGCTGTGGATTCAATTCCGAAATCATGGCTTAACTCTATGGAATTCTACCAGCTAACAACTTGGTATATATCCTCTTAGACTTCTTGACATTGCGACCGCCTCTCAGGTATGGTCTTGGGCCAAAGCGCAAAAGCCTTTTTTGAGGCCACCAGGCCTGGGACTCCAAATGGCCTTAGGCCTTGAGTATTGGACCTAACCAGAGGTTATATAATTATTTGGGGTGGGGGGGTCAGAAGGTGTCTATTTGAGGTTATTATATATATATATATATAAACCCACACACAGATATATATATATATAGATATACAACATGGTATACTGTAATATAGTATATTATGGAGATATGTGTGTGTAATATAATATGCACATCCACAACACTTTGCTGGTCGGAGGGCTACAGTGACTACAGTCTTACCCCACTCTCTCCGGGTCCTGCCAGGGTCTATGGCCAATACCTGGGCCTGGTGGTCTCCGGCGATGTGTGGACCCCCATCCCCACGGACCTCTTTGTGAAGACGTCCGACAACCCCTTGGGGAAGACGGAGTTCGACCCGGTGATGCCCGGCGCAGTCTGGGGGACCCGCTGAGAAGCTCAGGGGCCCCAGGAGGTCACCAGCTTTTTGGGATGAAACGACCATTCCATTTGGATCTTTCTTAGATCCGGCCTTCCCTACCAAACGGAACCGGCTGCAAATCGAACGGATCCCGATGTTCCATGTCGGATCCCAGGATTTACATGCCGTCACACAAGCATCTGGAAGCCATTTGGGTAGACCGCCGAAAGACCAGCTTTGACGTCACCCTGTCCTATGAGCACTACCCCTTTGACGAGCAAATCTTGGAGCTGTGTGTCATTGGGCGTCATTGGGGGTGGCCGTGAGGCCAATGAGTTCCCCAATGGGAGCCTTTGGGTTGATGTGGGGGGCTCGCCTGTAGGGTCTAGATCCCTGGAAGATGAAATCCAAATGATCTTGTGGTGACAGTGACAGGTGTATATTTGTTGGGGGTAGCAGGCTCACTAAACAGTCCTAGGTTAGGTTGAATCCGCACGATTGGTTGTGTTTTCTACCTGTGCTGCTTGAGATTGTGGTGGCTGTTTCTTTTCCAAGCCCCATTGACCAGGAACGGCATCGAAGAGTTGACCCAAGACTCAAAGGAGTGTAAAGTAGGGAGACCTCCCAGTTCGACCTCGTGGAAGGTTCGGGAAATAGACCAGTCTACCCAGCCAGGGCCAGGGGGTCGCCTTATATATATATATATATATCACAAAACACCTGCCGAGGTGTCCGACCCTGCGGACCAGGCGGCCTTTTTCCTGCGATGCCTCGAGTCGCGAAATGGCCTTCGGACGAACGGAAGAGCACGACAGCCCTGCGAGTGACTGGTGGCAGACATGGCCAATTGACACTGCTTATATTCTATTTTTTTTATCTTCTAAAAAGGTTGCTCTAGGCGGGCTTTGATGCAAAACGGGCACTTCACTTTGCCGTCTTGTACTGACGGCGAACATCAGATCCCGGAATGATTGGACCATCCGAGAACTGGGAACTCGAGCTCTTGCCATTCATGAAAAGCAAATATTGAGACATGTCGCGCATGGTGCCGGTCAACGAGAAGGCACGTGCGCAACACCACTGCTTATACTGCACAACGGATGGATCCGAGTTGGGCCACAACTCTTCATATGACATGTTGGCTCCTTTGAAGCGGCCGGCGGTGATGAGGGTTTTCCCCCACACTTCAACACTGGACACTCCCGGAGGCAAACTCAAGGTCTTGCCTTCACTTTGGACACTCTCAAAGGCCTCGCGAGGCAGATCAGGATCATCCATTGAGCTCATAGGGCCATCCGGGGCTAACTTCCATGGTGGTGACATGCCGGGTGACATCGAATAGCCAGAAGGGGCTTTCTTGTCAGCACGCTTGAGAACTGGCTTGCCGGGGTTGGACTCTTCACGGCGCTTGGAACCATCAGTCATGGCACCCCAACCACGGTTGACTTCACCTTGCACAAGGGTGAAATCACCATCTTCGGCTCCGACATTGGGTTCGTTCGCCTTGGCCAACAGATGTTGGAGTTGGCGACTCTCAGCCTCATTCAACGGCATGGCCCTCAGTCACAGCGGGTCACAAGATCACGCAACACACACTTGAGCTTCGAAGAACAGCTACGTGCGATACATTAACGTCAAAAACATGCAGAACCGATGTGCACAATCACTTGAGAACAGAGTTTCCCTTCGGCACTTGAGTGACTTGTTCTATAAAAACGAGCACAGCCAAAAACAGCAAATAAAACTCAACTTGGAGAAACAACGAATGTCGCAAGTACCGATACTCTAACAAGTATTGTATCCTTACATCTACCTTAATTATCTGTTGGGACCGGGTTATCCTGGTCCTTGGACTGGCGCAGTTGCTGACGTCTTCGTCTTTCCTCGGCTTGTTGCTCTAGGATCAAATTTTCTGGAGAAACCTGGTAACAGGCTGCACGGACGCATGATCTCAGCAGATCGGCAGGGTCAGCTTTATCTTTTGTCAAAGCATCTGCCAACATTCTATCAGTAGGGAGCCATCGGATGATACCTTGGGTATTTTTAAGTGACTCTCTGATGATAACTACATCGATGCTGGTTCTACGATCCTCAATTGCCGTGGGTGCTGATGGACTAATGAGGTGATCATACAGGGACTTACAGTCTGTCATGAGGATTGGGGCCCGTCTACTGATGATCTGTCTACTTTCCAGTGGTTGAAAGGGGCCATCCAGGGTCTCAGCTAGCAACAAACACATCCATTCCACTGTACCCGAAGCTACAGACATGGCTTGGGCTTCTCCTCCGAGCGTCGAGCTGACCGCCCTGCTAAGCTTGTAGCTCTTCCACACAGCCGGAGACCACGAGGAGACTTGTCCCTCGTTGAGGTTTTGATCGCAAAAAGCTATCACATACCCGGCTTGGGTGTGAGCACCAACATTGGCAAAAGCCGCGTCGGAATGACAGCGCAAAGTCAGATTACTTGGAGGAACATGGGCAAAATAGATGCACAAGTCTTTATGTTGTTTGGCACGGCGGATGGCATTGTTAGCATCTCTCAGATGGCGACTGGTCGGTTTTGGGAAACACTGCCGACTTAGACTTGTCTGTACTGCGAGATCAGGTCGGGATTGAGAAGAAAGCCAATTGAGGCTACCATTGATTCCCTGCAACAACCTGACCTGGCTCTCTGTCAACAGAGCTTGATTTTCAGCTCCTTTTGGGATGGATGCACTACGCATGGACTCGGCAAACTGCTGTTGAGACATTGAGACACCCTTGGTGTCGGGATCCTGTCGGTAGTACGCACCACAGAACTCACCTTCCCCCATACGCCACTTCCGGTAAGGGAATCAAGCCTTCAGTTTCTGAACAGCCGAATCAAACAGGGGACCTGAACCACCCACTGCAATGTCGCCGACATGCACTCCCATGACGCCACACAAGGAACCATTCTTGGGATCTCGGAGAGTGTAAAGGCGCGAGTCAAATTTAGACTTGATCCAACCTGCCTGTTGAGCTTCAGAATCGAAAGTGCGATACCAGGCGCTTGGAGCGTCGTTCTGGCCGTAAACATTTCCAATCACTTCTATGACGGCATCAGCTGGCACTCCGGGGATTCCACCCTTGGGCATGGATGCGAACAGAGGCCTGAATTTCTGAGGAAGTTCGCCTGCCTCCATGAAGGCACCTTTTTTTTTTGTCTCCGAGCTGGAGGACCCAACCGTACGATGCTAATTCTTGCATGATCAGCATGCGACTCATCTGAGACAAGGTTGGAGATTGAAGCAATCCGGTTGAAGCTTTCTCATCGAGATCCGGATCCAAATGGCCCTGAAGACACCAACGACTCTTCACACGGTAGGTCGAGGGATTGAGGGGATCGATGGCGATTCCCTCTTCAGCAGCCTTTCTAATGACCACGAACCGGGATCCAATAAACCTATCCGGAAAGCGACGTTTCAACTCTTGAGCCTTTTTCCCATAATGAATCTTGATGGCGGTTTTCTCTTCAAGGGTTCCCCATTCTGCTACCTTGGATTCGTCAACCAATGCTTGAAGTTCTGGTGGGTTTCCATGAGGAGGGAGTTCCTTACTGAGCTTCTTTTGGATGTGGGCAGCAATGAGAGTTTCAATGCCATCGTTCCAAGCTTCGGTGATTTCCTCAACTGACAGCACTTCCGAATCCACATTACGTGCACGCTGAGCCGGTGGTTCGTCAATGTGTGTCACATCGTCTTCACGATCACGCTTGGCTCCGGCACCAGATGAAGCAGAACTACTCGATGTTCCATGCTCACTTGAAATGGCATTCTCGATGAGAGACGGCGCAAGGTCTTTCATCAACTCTGAGAAATCGTCCGCTTGCATAGCTGGTGGCCGAAACAGAGAAGACGATTGAGACTTAGTGGATACTCTACGTCGCACTGGACCATACGAGGATTCTTCTTCCGGGACATATGGTAGGGACTTGGGATTCACATACGGCTCAACTGCACGATCTTTGGTCTGAGATTCTGGCTCATGTTCCTCGGCATCATGCGATTTCGTTCAATGCATGTCTACATTGACTCCCGGAGAAGAGGTCTTGAGGGGACCAGCATCTTGGCTCGGCTCAGCCGACTCATGCGCTTGAGACGCCACAGGACGCCCTGACGGGTCTGGCAACTCGACTCCAGAAGGAGGATACTCCGAAGGCACTAGATCTATATACTGTTTGTTTGCTTTTGAAGGTTCCACCCTCAATCAAGTCCTTGATACCTAGCAGTTCAGCTTCAGGCGATTCAATCATGGTACGCTCTTCGGTGGTTGCCGGCCGGAATTGTTCAGGGGCACACCTAAAAATCTGTTTCCTGTGGGCCACAATCACATTTCTGCCTACCATGCCGATAACGACTGCAGTTCCATGCCATCTACCCCCTTGTTGAACAGTACCCTGGATGACCTTCTGTGGACGCCAGTAGGCGACCAGTTCACCTGCCTTGAATTCCATGATCACTCTAGGGCGACCGGACATGGCGGCACGAACTGCTTTGTCATCCTGGAGTGCTACCACTGCCATGCGAGCAGATCGACGCAGTGCCTGTGCGCGAGCTATGGCTTCATCATGAAGACCAACGGTGGCTGGAACAATGTGTAGGGGACCGGACATCAAGTCTCCGGGAAGGCTTGGATTCTTGCCAAACACATTTTGGAATGGTGTAAAGCCATACGATTGAATGGACTGATTTTTCACATGTGCATGGCGAACACACTCTAGCCATTCTTCTTTGTTTGAGGGAGAATGTTCATCAATCATCTTTTGCAGAATCCTACCAAACCAACCCCCATGATTCTCAGTGCGGCCTAATTGCCAACATGGTTTGTGCAGGATCGACGATCACAGCTTCCGGAGGTCCGGCCCAACGAATCCAAGCTTCGGCAAAGATCTTACCAAGCAACATTGAGGTCTCTTGCTCAAAGAAGGGAACAATCTGTTGAAAGCATGAACCCTGATCAACCATATTAACAGATTTGATCTTTTGGTTAGGCAACCAACCCGGAAGGTACTTCACATCAACCCCTACTAACTGGTTGAACTGAGTGATACGTCCCGACTGTGCTGGAAGTGGCACATGAGGCTTGATGTGAGCCTTGCAAAAATCGCACACCAGATCCCTGGCCATGGTTATGGCCTTCTGCGAAGCCTGCCCGTGTCGAAGGATTCGGACCAAATCAGTGTTGGACGGATGTCCCAGGTTCTTGGGCAATTTACGTAATCAGGGCACCGTTCACTCGAGTGTCCTCGACCTCCGGCTGTGTCAGATCCTCGCGGTGGGCCGCCAGGCATTCCTCAACCATATGTGAGAACGATTCATCCTCACATTGCACTAAGGATGCTTCCCAGACCCTTGCAAAAGCAGGAATAGTTCGGAGAACACTCTCAACAAAAGCAGGAGGGTATTGACCCGCAAACTTGCTAATGGAACCGACACCAACTGCTGAACCTGCAATCGCATCATGACACTCATGCTGGGGATGTTGCTTTCCCGGACAAATCAACCCTAGAGACTCCATGGTCCGATGACTCAACAAAAGACGAGTGGGTTTCCGGATGAAACAATCATGGTTGGGCATCTTCATACCATATCGACACATGTGCAATTTGGTTGAATAGAATCGGTTCAACAGCTTTTTCATGTCAGGAAGTGTCCAAACTTGAGATCCAAGGGGATCCTCGAACATAGCGAACCTGCCTTTAGACACCTGTTGTTCAAACAGCTCAAGACAAAACTTGATGAACATCCGGCTTCGCATCCTCAGCTTCAGAACTAGATGCGGAGGCAGCTTGGCAGCATTGAGATGCCACCAGCCTCCCTCATGAGTGCAAGGAGGACACAGGACCAACAGGTCAGGCGGTGTGATATCCAGCTCTTCTTGGACCAGGTCACGATGCTCTTTCTTAGTGAAGTCATATCCGGTTATCAGCTCGTATGAGGTCGCGTGAAACCCGAATTCTGGAGCGACAGGTGCAAATCAAGGTGGACTGAAAACTTCAGCTACAACGATCGGCGACCCTTGATCATGGTGGCTGGACATGCGTTCGAGCACTTCACCTGAGCTCTCAGTTGTCTCAGGTGGTGAACCGGCAAACACGCAGTAGGACACATCTTCTCCTGTGGCCGGAAAACTCAGTCTTCACTCGAACGTGTTGGGGTGGAATCAACGCGTGATACTGATTCTTGCCCTTATGAGGTTCTATCTGTTGATCAAGGATGACTTCCCCAGACACGAAATCGGTGACTCGGCAACGGACGACCTGGTTCCAGCTAGGACCTTGCTAACCGGTGAGTGGTGCAAATTTCAACCCGTCGTCTATACGAGACCAAATCGACAGTTGTCCTGAGGTGAGAGGCTCATCCACTGGCATCTCTGCAGCTGGCGGTGAGGCCGATTCAGCTGCGTCACGAGGCGGCTGCTCAACAGGTGGCACTACATGTCTGTGTCTCCATGACTTCCTCAAAGGACGCTTCAGGGTCAGCAAACCCATGGGCTTTCCACAACTCACGGAACTCGCTCAATGGAACGACCGCACCCAGAATCCAGGATGCCATATCCTGGGCTGGACACTAAGAGCAGCTCTTGAGGAGGGTCTTGAGCGACTGGAGAATGAAGAGCTCGTACACGTGCAATGTCAACTCAGGAATCACCATGGCAACAAAATGTTCGACCAGAGCAGCTCCTGACTGACTGGAGGATGCTGGGCCTTACCATGACCCTTACCTTTTCCTTCTGAGCCATTGCTCGAATTGCGGCACTCTTTGGACCAGTGTCCCACCTGGCCACACTTGTGGCATCTGGTACGACGTTTGAGCTCCTCCACTTCCACTCTGAACTGTCGTCGAAGGTGGCCAGCATCATGGAACTTGCGATCCTTTTGCAATCGAGCCAGGCTTTTTCGCTTTTCCTGCCAAGTGACAGCCAAGGTCTCCTTGATGTCACGTTCCTCGAACACGTCGTCGGGTTCCCCACCATCGGCTGTAGTGTCATCAGCCAACAGGAGTTCAACGTCCTCAAAAGAAGGATCCAGACCGTCCTTGTCGTCCTCCAACATATCAGCCAGCAGGGTTTCCTCGGAAACCAGGGCAGCGCTATAGCAACACGGCGTTTGGGCGCAGAGAAATTAGGATAGCAGCTGCGCATCGCTTTTCCAATCTCTTCACGCTCAAGCACTCCCAGGGATCTGGCCAAAACAACGGCAACCTGTTCAGCATTGAGGCCTGAACGATGGAGGATGAGCCATCCTCTAGCTTCCTCCGGAAAGGAAACGTTCGTCTTGCGCTGCAGGTTGTCAAAAGCCTCGGAAGCTCGACTGACCCACGACTTGAGGGGTTCTCCCTCGTTGGCTCGCAGCTCAAAGATCTTGGTCAGATTCTCGCTGAGCTCATCCGAAGCCTCCTTCTGAGGAAAACGACGATCCAGAAGCTTGAGCAGCACCTTCTCGCCACCCTCCTTCTGATAGGAGGATGGTTCCAAGTGCTCCACGGCCTCCAAGGCCTTGCCACCCAACGTGTATACGTAGGCGCCACGAGCCGTGGCGGGCACCTTGTCGCTGAGCGTCAGCAACTTGTTGGCAGTCCAAATCTTCCATCTTCGATACTCCTTGGCATCTTCATCATCGCCAGTGAAAACCTTGTTGTTTCCACCTCCAGGGTCGAAAGGAGCGGCGGCAGACATGGCGCAACTCAGGGATCCTACCCGGAGCCGGTCCCTTTCGACCGGCTCCGCTACCAATCACAAAACACCTACCGAGGTGTCCGACCCTGCGGACCAGGCGGCCTTTTTCTTGCGATGCCTCGAGTCGCGAAATGGCCGGAAGTGCACGACAGCCCTGCGAGTGACTGGTGGCAGACATGGCCAATTGACATATATATATATATATACATGTAGTGCATATATATATATGCACACCCAAAGGTCCAAGCGGCTTTGTGAGATGTGACCATGTTCGGACCACAGTCCGTGCCGATCCGTCGCGGGCTTCACCCAGCGAAACGGATCCGTCTGCCATTTCCCGTGTAAATTCGAAACCCCAATGCTTGGGCAACATCTGAAGACGCCATTTGTTCCAGGAGCCTCCCAGATTGGTTGTTAGACCAGTAATTACTGAGCGGGAGACAGAGAAGGGTTTCGCTAGGTACTAAAGGTGGCGAAGGGTGTTACACTGAACCTGGTCGCAGTTGGTAGACCAACTTTCCCAATGGCTTTGGAGGGTATCCACCACCCCCCACCAGGTGTATATATATATATATATAGAGTGTATAGTATTCTTTTTGTTGTGCTTTTGTAAATATACTGTATGCATAGATGTATAGACCCCCGAATAGATAGAAAAGTAGATCCCCACAAAAATGTCTTGGACCCTGTGTCACTATGTATGTTGGGACCACTGTCGTGTAAGCTCTCTACAACACGCCTTCCCTGAGGTGAATTTCGACTACTGGAGCTCTCCCCAGTGGGTCCCATGGAAGACTGGACGTGGGCAGCCCGCCTTGAAAGATCTGGGTGAACGCTGGGACGAGCCCTCGCGGCTCTCTGACTTGGTCTCCGCCAAGTTCTTGGCCTCCCTGGAGGGTAAAGGCGGGACGTCGGTGTCCGCAGAGGGCGTGCCAGCGTGCGGTGCTGTTGAGGCACTCGGGGCGAGGTCCAAAGGCGGAGGTGTTTTTTTCCCTTCAGGGGGTGAAACAGGTCCTGTTCCGTGCCGAGGGTAGCCTGCAGGCAGGTCTTTCGTGGGGTCATTCAGGACATCTATTTTTTTGTGGGATGGTTTTGGGCCGTGGGTCTTTATCACCAAGCAACTGGGACGTAAAGTCAATAAATTGGGTAAAACAGGGCAAGGATCGGAGGGGATTCGTGTTTTTGTTTGTAGTTTTGCTGTGTATGCGTGGGTCATTTCCACTGCGTGCAAGCAAGCTTGGAACCGATCGTTGGCGGGCTCATCACTTGTTTCGCAGCAGTCACTCGCAGCAGTCCTTTTCCTCTTCGCCAGCGGGCCGCGTGGGCGTTGCGCCGCGCGCCAGGCTTCACAGTGATCAGCATTCAAATGATGGAGGGCGCGGGGGGGCTGAACGGCAGCAAGATCTGCATGCAAATTGTGGTGATCCGGCTCATTACGATTTTGCTGCTGCGCTTCTTTTTGCCGTTGAGCTTCTTGCCAAAGTTGTGAATGGATGACAAGGGCATGTCAAGGGTTGAAAGGCTTGGCCCAGGCCTTTGCAAGAAACTATGTCGCTGTGGCTAGCCAACCAGTCAGTCACCGACTATTGAAAGAGAACTTTGAATATCCAAACACTTGTGGATTCGGAGTTGTTTGAGCTACATGAATGTCTTGTTTGTCTGGGTCTTTGAGGAAGTTGCTATGGCAAGTCGTGGGGCGTGGTTTCTGAGAATATCCCCGGGGAGGAAACTACAGTTTTATTGTCAATTTTGTGGTATGTGTCAATAGCAACCCTACAACTATGATCTTCTAACTTGGATTCTCTGCCCACTCGGACAACTTCAAAAATAGTAATCACTGCGAAGGATCCATATTATACAGCAATTGGTTCGGCGGGCTTTCAGCTGGGCAAAGGGAATGCTCATGACTAGTTGAGGGCTTCCTGCTCCAAGGTTTTCTTCTCTTCATCCCCTTTGCCGGATTCTTCATCCCCATCGAGATGGTGATGCCTCGCGTGGCGACGGGATTCATATCCTTCTTGTCTCTGCAGGTCTTTCGAACCATGGCCTATTCCCTGATTCCGAAACCGTCGTCTTCACTGCTGTGGATGGATGTGGCCATGTTCTCAGTGACGGTCATCATGTTCGTGAGCCTTTTGGAAAATGTTCTAGCACAGGCCTTGCGCGCGAGCGTGTCCAGTCAAGCTGCACGCTTCGTGGACAATCTGTCACGCGTGACCTTTCCATTGACGGCGTCTTGGTGGAAATCTGAGTCCGTCCGGAGGAACTGACCGGGCAGTGAACCGGGTGGCTGACGTAGCTGAACACCACCGCAGTTGAAAAAAATAGTATATTGTATATACTGTAATTTGATTTTATTTATATATATATATTTCTTTTTGGGTATATTACATCTCTATATATATATATACTGTAAATGTATGAACCACTTGGATAGTTCTTGGAATGAGGTGTGGCATTCTTTCTGTCATGATGGGCTGTTTGTACCAGCTCTGGTCCACCCTCTCCCAGCTGTCAGGCCTTATTGATTCTGCTCTTGCTGTTTGTGCTGGGAGCCAGTCGGGTGGATGCCAGCACCACGATGGCGGTCTGTCTCACCTTGCTGTCACTTTGGCTCTTCTCTTGCAGCGTGGCGGTGGTTTTGTACTGTCGCTTCCTACCACAGAAGCTCCTGAAGACGCTGGTGGGGGGGCGCGACGATTGGAGCGAAGGGCACGAGTGCGGAACCAGGAGCGAAGGATAGGAAGGTCAAGGTTTATATATATATATATACATATACCCCCTAGGGATCCAAGTACCTTCTCAGCAGGTGATTGGAGACACCGCTATGTAGGTTTGGAGAGAGAGAGAGAGAGAGAAAGAGAACCGGATGTGGAAGATCATTTCAGATTTCAACAAAGAAGGACTAACATGCAGGATGAGGCTTGGAGAGACAAGTGGCATGAAGCGAAACAACCCCTTCTTGCCCGAATATTGGTAAGAGCACAGAAGACCAACCCATTTTGAGAGCTGAATTCTGCTTAACGAGGCGGTCTTTTCGGCGTTGAAGGTAGTGGGTGAAGGCTTTGAAGGTCTAAACACAAGACATTCAAGGTAGTCGTTGACATGAGGACTGTCCCTGCTGTTTGGCTGGATGTGTTTCATCGGCAAGAGTCGTGAAAAGAGTTCTGTAAGATTTCCTCATGCTCCTTTGTGCGCACTCAGTCCAAGCAGATCCAATTCTAGGTGATGTGTTCATGAGTCATCCCCTGACCTGGAGCGACGTCCTTCTTCGGCACAGACGTCGTGCCCGCCCGTGGGGTGACACCGTGACAGGTGAAGCTGGTGTCGGACGCCAACTTTCGCTACCACACTGCATCCGCGTCCTTGGATGCCAAAGAGCTTTTGATCGTCTTCAAAGTCTTTGATCAGGATGGCAGAGGCCACATCACGGCAGACAAGGTGCGAAGCGGCCAGTTAGGCCAAAAGCAAAAGGGGTTTGGCACCATCTACTCTGAACCCCCGGTAGGAAAGAAGATGGTATTTTTTGCGGCATCTACTCTTTCCTCTACTCTGAACCCCCGGTATGTCACTTCTTGCCGCGGAGCAGTTCTATTCTTGGTCGTCATCGGAAAGAACGCCCAGGTCCATCAAGTACGGGTCAGGGCTGGGCTGCGATGTCCATTGGTTTCGGAGTAGATGGCACCAAGCGCAAGACGTCTTGAAGCGGCCACCGAGGTCTTCCAACAGCTTCAGGCGCACGGTTTGTCCTTCAGTGACGAGCACCGTGGCGCCGCATTCAAGGAGCGGCTGGCAGCAGTCTTTGCTCGGCACGGTGGCACGACATTGGATCTCAAGGGCTTTTGCCAGCACTTTGGAGACTGGGTCTGACAGGGAGCGCTTGGAACCCGCGCGTGGCGCGTTTGGACAAAAACCGCCAAGGGTTCTTCCGCCGCGGGAGGTGTCGCTGCTGGGGGAACGAAATGGAACCTGAAATGCTCCGAACCACTTGGACAACTTGTTTCACTTGGAACTCGGCAAACTTGATTGCAAACTTCTGCTGCCTTTCTGGCCGCTGTTTCCTGATCCGGTTAGTGGTTTTAAGAGACCGAGCGGCCGCAGAAGTATGCCTCGTGAGACTACTTATCCAGAATGCTGGGATCATGTGTGTCAGTTTCTGGTTCCGTTCCCTAAGCTTGGTCTTTCAGGTCGCCAAATTAAGTGGTCGGTATTTGGCGGCTGGCTATTGGGATTTCACCATTCGCTAGTTAGCCAACCTCATAGATAATCCAAAAAGCCTGGGGTTGACCCAAACACACGCAGCTCATCACAGCTCTATCATGATTTGTTTTCTGCACCCGAGGTTTGCCCATACCTAAGCGATGTAATTCTGACCACTTGTGGTTTACGTCTTCTGCGTGAGGACATCATTTTTTGCTCAAAGAATGGGTCGGGCGGGAAGCGCACGACGACCCCTTTTGGCCAAATGTTAGTGTTGTTTAGACATTGCAGTCAACCCGTGTGATGTTTCATTTATCATCTTGGTCATCGGATTCCATGCATGACCATCTGGAAGGCTTTCTGATTGAAGTCGTTGGCCACCGCCACAGTACCCTCCTTTGCCGCATTTCGCCGCAACGCGCCCAGGAGAGCTCTTCCAGTTTGCGCCTCCAAAGAATGATGAGGAGGAGCTTCAATCATCGGACCCGTCCGTCGACAGGGAGAGATCGCAAAAAGTGGATGTCGATGGAGAAGGGACAGTTGCTCATCCCTTCGAGGTGGTGCCAAACTGATGGCAGATGTACATAGTGCTGCAGCTCCTGGGGTCCTGGTGCAGGTGGAGCCTGTTTCGAAAGATTGCTTTCTTTTTTTGTGGTTGGGCTCGACCATGCCCATACCCCGAATCTTTGTCGTTGGAAGTGATTTTCAATGGACATATGCTTGGCTCACTGCACCGACAAGTACAAGAGACGGTGGACCTCTTGTGCTGGCGTTCCAGCAAATTTCCCAAAGGGAAGTTGAGAAAAGGGCCGCCAGCGAAGCGCAAGACAAACCTAGGCATCCGGAGGTTTGATGAGGGTGTTGGGTCCTGTTCACCAATTCTGGGTAGATGAAAATAAAACATTTGGACTCATCGGGGGCATAACTGCATTGCCAGAGGGAACCAAACCTGAAAATTGAAAAGACAGAAAACACTGTTTTCGATCCAAGGTTGAACAATATCACAAAAATGGGTTGGATTCGAAACAGATATGCTCAAGGAAGGGGACGAAGGAAAGGAATTAAGAGGGCGATGCGATGCAGGCCTAGAACATAGAGGGATCCCAGAGCTCCGCATAATACCGCATATAATTGCATTCTATAGCGAGTTGGAACGATGACCGGGTGTAATAAACTTGTCGAAGGATATAGAACAGATCTCGCATTCTTTGAAGATATGTTAGTGATCAGTGTTTGTGCCGTCGACCACCCTGGTCAAGGTAGATGCCCCGGCGCACGCTCAGCGCGCATGGAGTCCGGGCTCCAAGGGACCCTTCAACCTGTGGAGATGGAGACTCTTTGTATAGCACCGTGCACTATAGCAGAAATGTCCTGAAACGAAACAGCTGTCCACAGTAAAATTCTACTTGAAAGCGTTGGGGGTAAATAGAAGAACTATCACAAGATCCACGGCCCAGCTGTGCGGGCGTTCCAGCAAGCCCGGGTCGTGCTTGGACATGTGCTGCCTTTCTTATGCAGCCACCGTGGTCGTGCCATGGAGCCATGCAAAGTGGGGGCTCGCAAGCGGTTTGGGGGATCGTCCCCAATCTTGAACCTGCTTCTTTAGAAACACCTTCTCTGGTCGCTTGACCCGTCGCTTCGGCACGGAACCCGTGGGACCCGTGAGGCTTGCGGACTCGCGTGCGGGCACCCAGATCTGCGGTCGTATCTTCGGTTGTGTGTCGGCTATCGGGCAGTTGAATCGGGTGACTCCACTCATTTCCTCCTAAAAACATGTGAGATCGGAAAGCGAATCCCTTTCTATACGGACAACCCGACTCGATCATTTTCGGCCTGCAGAGCAGCACGATAGCGATGATTTTGCATGGTTCGCGATCACTAACCCTGCAGACTCAAAAGGTTTCAGGGTCTTAACTCAGCGAATTGGATTGCTCATGCCATAATGAACTCCATTTGAGAAATGGGGGGGGCGACCACTTCAGAAAAAATGTCAGTACCATTGCCCGTGGCTCTCCATCATGGCCCGCGCCTGGCCCAGCTGGGTTCGATCTCGGCTTCGATTCCTTCGCCATCCAATCTCTTCTGGTCAATCTCCCAAACGCTCCCCTCGCATGCTTCGATCTAGCAATGACCATTACCAGATGTTCTGGGAAGTAGCAGCGGCCCCCTTCGTCTTGGACAAAACGCGCGCAGGATGCTTCAAGCGCCTACATGGAGACGCCTGGCTGAAAGAAGAAACGGCGGTGTCCCGAGAGTCCCGGCAGCGAGTCTCGCGCAGGGTTTCCACAATTCAATGAGTTCCAGGACCCTCCAAGGGTGTCTACTTATAGCCCCTTGGCTGTTAAGGGGTGTCCATGAACCACCCTTGGGGGTCCTGGTTGAGTTCTTTTTTTCAGGGTTTTGGTTTGCAGTCCATAGAGCCCCTTCTTTTGATCTCCTCGTCCCACATGAAAGGCAACGCTCGCTTCCTTTTTTGGTTATTTATGCCAGGTTCATGAGTCCTGTCAAACTTCCGTGGACCGTGGAGCTGTGGCAAACTGGGACGTTTCTGAACTGCCTGGTGCCGACCGTCGAAGATTCCACATGAAAACTTTCAATTCACCTGTGGGTGGGAGCGAATTCAGCGAGCTTCACCGCCGAAACCGAGCTGAGCTGCTCGCTCTTCAGCGTGAGGCGCAGCAGTGAGCGCCTGACCTTCGGCTCCCGTGCGTAAGAACCGAAGGCGGAAGACGGGTGCGAAAAGTGGCCAAGGCGGCGGAAAAAGTGACGTCCCGGACATGCACCTCGAAGTTCACATAGTATATGATCATTGCATGGGTCCACAACATGGCAGGTTTTCAACCACCCTGAGAACCCAACCCCGAAGCAATGGGAAGGGTTTAGGTCGGGTCCGGATTCCTTCATAGAAAGGAAAACCGCAGCCCAAGCAGATATTCAATTCACGGAACCGGTATGCACAGTCGGTTCCAGTTCGTCCATAGGAGATTTTCATCTTCAGACCACAGGCCACCGACTGGGTGCTTGTCCAATCTCTCAGCTCGTCCACCTCCATGGGCCTTTTGAAAAGCTGTGATGTCCAAGGTCCATGCCCAGGTTGTGTAGGAGTCTTGGTCAAAGTGGAAGATGTGGAAGATGTGGCGAGCACGGTGTTTGTTTGGATTTTGAATCTAGTCTGCGGCCAAGTTCCCGCAAACCATCATTCGCTACCGACAATCAAGGCATTTGATTTCTAGCCTGCTGACCCGTAGTCTCGCTCAGCGGCGCTTTTTGGGAGGCACCCTGTTGCTCCTTCTCCAACCGCCTGGGTTCACTGGAGTTGTTGCTGTGATTAAAGATGACTGTGCTCACAGTTTCAGCGCCCTAAAAAAGAATATCGAGGCTCATTAGCAGATGCCTGCAGGCTGAGAGTCAGGAAGTTGCACCCTCGTAGTTCACATTTGAAGATTCAACATGGCCAGTCTAGGTCTTGACACACAAGCCGCCGCCTGAAGGTGGTAGATATGCGGTTTGCTCGGATGGTAGCCGGTAGTCATCACCAAACAACGGTCCAGTAGACTCTTTACCCATGCCCTTGCCCATGCTGATAGATCTTAGATCAGGCAATCTTTCCCTAGGGCCCTAGGGCTCCAATACCTCCTGAGAAGGTACTCAGGGGTTGTCCCGCCCCTTGATTTTGGGGATCTTGAGCAGCGGGACATTTAGACCAGTTGCACCCGCCGGAGACTCCGGAGAGCGGCTGGGTGCGGCCGGCTGGCGCCCCTCGGCTTCACTCATGTTGACTGGGAAGGGGTTCCTGGGCCAGACCCTCACCGAACTGAATACTCTACCAGGGTTGACAACCCAATTGCCATGGTTTGAACGTGGAAGGAGAGCCCATTGCCATTTGCTCCCAAGGGTGTGGCCAAGCTTTTGTCGTTGACGGAGGGGCTCGGGGGGTGACACACACACACACACAACACAACACCACCACACACACACACACATGCATTTGTGTGTGCCTCATGGCCAAATCTCCATGTTAGGCCACACCACCAAGAAGACTACTGGCAATAGCAGCTCAGAAGCCGACACCCCAGGCCTCCAATGGCCATGATTGAGGGCGGCAAGGCGTGGCCAGGCGGGTGCGGGTGCACGGAAGTGGGAAATGGGTGGGCCATCAATCTGGTGGCGCGAGTTTCTGCGCGGAGGCCCAAGCGGCGAGTTTGTTGCGCCCCAGCGCAGCTCTCGGAGCAAGCTTCCGAAGGATCAGCCTCTGAGACGGTTTACTGTTGGGGTTCGCTCTTAGGAAAAATGCCCCGGGCCACAGTCTCTGGCCGTGTCTGGGTCTGTGTGCGCTGCTGGGCCGTGCCGACCGGTGCCATGCCTTTCTTTGGTGAGGGCTTTGTTGTCGCCCCTTTTACCGGAATGTGAGCCTTGTCCCGCTGTACCTTTCTCCACAGCCTTGTCCGGGTATGTTTTCGTGTGGCTATGAATGCAACATTGATACAACGTTTCGAGTTCATCACCCTCGGGGTTAACCTGACATCATAGATCGTTCTTGCGTGACCCGGGAACCAGGAACTATTGTTTTCAATTCTTTTCAAGCATCTTTGAATTACCTGCCGTTCCCAAATAGCTGGAGGCTATCGGAAGAGTGACCGACGTTAGAAACCAACCACCAACGAAGAGGAATTCTGAGGCGTGGACGCACACAAGACGTTGAAAACTGTTTGGGGTCGATGCTGGCACAATGGGGATATACAACCAAAAACGTTGGAACAGCAGACGAGCAGCGCTAGCGCGAAAACACTCAGACCTTGTGCAATGCCGTGGGGTACGGGTCAGCTAAGAACGACGACTTCATGCCACCGTTTGGTGCGAAAGGCACGTTGAAACGCATGAGTAGCACTATGACCAGCGGCTGCTGGTCATTTACATCAAGTATCGGATGGTACCTTCACTAAAGGAAGCGTCAGACAGGAACGTCACCCCTAAGAGTGGCCGTCTCGGGTCGTTCGTTCCAGAAGACGCTGGGCCGTTCTGCTCCGTTCCTGGACTCGGTCAGACCTGGTCGTTCTCAGGGGCTCTCGTCCATCGATCCCTGGGGAGTCGCTTCGCTCGGTTCGTGGGTGGAGGGTGCGGAGGTGGGGGGCCAAACGGCGGAGATCCATTAATGGGGCCCACCCAAGTGTGGCCCGTGCACGCAGGTCATGAGGGTAGCCTTGGCTCATCCTGACCCTTGGGGGAAAAAGGGTTGCCTGGGCTAGGGTTGTCGAGAATGGCAGCACAAGATACAAGAGACTTGTTGGGGCTAGCGGCTAGAGCGTAGAAATTTGTAGAGCTGCCAAGCTTAGTAGTGCTGTACAGTGTCCCGGCCGCGGAATTATGTCCAAGCGACCTTGACTGAGAGCCATCCCACTCCCGACAGGAAACCGCGAGATGTCCGTCGTTGATAGCTTGAAGGCCTGCAAGTCATGGGGGTTAAGGCACGACTCCAACACTTGAAGGGGATGAGGGGCTCCATGATTGGTAGCTGATGCTCATCTAGAGGCTCAAAGTGTTGACCACTGAGTCGGCTTGTCGTGGGGTGCAATGCCGTCAGGAGAATATAAAGGGGGTTCTCGATTCATCGATGAGACACCTTGCCTCGTGCTAAACATGTATGTTTGAGTATGTTTGAGTTACTGTATTTGGAAGGCCGCGGCGATTCATTCATCGGCATCAATATCACAACGGGTGGACAGACTTGCACAGCCGTCGCGTCACCCGAAAAAAGTGTCTGGCTCTTTCCTCATGTGTCGACTCTTTCCTCAGGGCCCAAGCCGCTCTCCAAAAGTGAGGTGGCCAAAGAACCACACATTTGGCAGATTGCGCTTCTTGGTGCGTCCTGCGGACACCCATGAGGTGGGCGTTGGTTCTTCTCTTGGCTCACGTGACCCGAGCCCGGCGCAGCAAGATTCTGCCAGTCAAGAGGTCGTCTCAGGAGAGGATTCGATCACGTCTCAAGGAGGCATGTTCCTGTTCTTGATGGGCCCACGTAAGCGCCCAAAAGCGATGGTGGAGTGGCTGTGAGTCACAGCCAGAGCAAGGGACGTCGGATTCCGATTGGTTCTGTGCCGAAAGAAGGTTTCTTTTATCATGGGTAATGGAAAGGATCAGGGAGATTCAAGCAGACCATTCGCAGACGGTCCTTTTAATTGAAACCGCGGAATTCAATCGGTTTTGTGGCATGATTTCTTGTGCAGGACGGCGGGTATTTCGAATCCTGTGGACCCAACCACGCTGATGAGGGTGTACATCAGCTGGTGGAGACTGTGAAACACTCCGAGCAGACTAGCGACTTTTGTGCACGTGGGGCAGGCACGGTTGTTTGGCCGCCCGATCCTTGGGAAGGCACCAAAACAGCTTTGTTAGACCTGCAGTTTGCCACTGGCCAATCTGAGATTTACCCTTCCTGAAACAATCATGGAAGTGGAACCTGGGCCCTTGGAAGATCATTTTCCTACACAAGCGGGGATTTGCTCAGCTTCTATGATTGTTGGAGGAAGTGTGGCTCCAAGCTAGCCCCTTTCCCAGGATGGATCAGAGAAGGGTGCCTTTTGCTGCCCCTGGGGCGCTACCTGGTGCGGTGGCTGTGCGGAGCCGAACCTCGAGGGCACGGCCTGCAAGCGCTGTCGCGGCGGATGGGTCTTGGACTCGGGGCACTGCACAGCCTGCGCGGACATGGCTTGGCATGATAGCGAGGGAAGGCGAGAGTGACCGTGTGGTCTTGCAAGGTCCAATTCTTGCAACGAAGCCCGTGGCATGCACTGGATGTGCTTGAAGCATTCTACATATCGGAAGGGAGTGCGGGTGCATGTGTGCTCAAGAAACGAACTGGTGTCCATGCAGCGTTCCCCGATCAATAAACCAGTTGCAGCCAATATTCCCCAATATTAGAATTTGAGCTGTAGCTCATTTGCTTTAGGATGGCCCAGTTGTTGATGTGATTTTTTCAAAGGGCTCATTATCCTTCCTCTTCAGTTTCCGCACAGGAACTGCTATGGCGTGGCAGAAGCCTCGGCCTGTAGTGGCCAACCCTTCCACGGCCTCTCTGCCAACACCGCCTGCTGTGCTTGTGGAGGGGGCCTCCGGGTGGCCACCAGCTTCGGGTACTACACGGAGCCCATCCTGGTCGGTGACTCTCGGGTGGTCGGGCACCCGCTGCCGCGCACCGCCGAGCGCTACTCGGTGGACAGCACCTGTCAACTCTTGAAGTTCAACCTCACCTTGGATGGGACCACAGGCGTGCTTGGCGGTGTTGACCTTGGCCAGGAGGTCTCCCTTGGGGCAGGAGGTCTCCCTACTAAAGTGCACGGCTAGAGAAGAACCGGGTGCGGGGGCGGTGGGTCCCCGGTGGGTTCGTCGATGTGCAGGCGAGTTGAAGCTGGCGCCCCATTGCTCCACCTTCGGCTGTGGCGGGGCGTGACTCGCACCACATCGGGGCTGGCCGAGTCGGATGATGAATGTTTTCTGATCTAGCTAGCTTTTTGCTGGAAGATTGCTGTATTTCATGTCGGCTTTGGGTCTCCAAATTAATGGTATCAAGTATGAACCCCAGGGCTCTAGGGTTGCAAAACTAGAGTGCATGAGGCACATTTGAGCTAGGGCAAGGATGGATCAATTTCCCGCAGTACCGTGGCTGACCCGCCGTAGCCTAGCAGCCTGTTTTGGTGAGACGGAGCGACGGGGGGTTCGTTCGTCCGCCCACAGCGGGAGCTTCCAAAGGGACCCACCCCAGCAGGACCCTGTCCATCTCATCTCCCAGACTCCGCCCCTTGTTGCGTGGTGCCCTGGTTGCACCCACACCCTACTCTGCACATGGCCCCACGAGCGGCTGTTCTTGAGGCAAGGCGACTTTTCTGTGACTTGCACCATCACAGCTGCCCGGCACCAGAAGAGAAGCAGGGCCAGGGTGCTTTCCGGTGTTTTCCTGTCTAGACTGAGGCTCGGCTGGCTTGGCGCATCGGTTGACTGGTGGTCTGGAACTCTTGGGTGGGCTAGATGTGAAGGTAAGCCATAGCCGTGGAGCCCCACACCTCTCAAGCCACACGTCTCTTGATGCTGACACGCTGAAGCCGTGCAGCGTGTCCTTTCTGGATCCATCTCCCATGTAGGCCTTCACAGCTGGACCGCAACGATCAGCCCGGGGGCGGGTGAACAGCTGGCCACCCAGCAACCAGCGTCAGAGTAGGACTCAGAATTGCTCCACGACTCCGCGGCCAGGTGGCAGCCTTTTCACATTGGTTGGGTGAATGATAGAGTGGATAAATCCCAAGTGTACAACTGACTATTCCCAGAAGGATGTCATTGATCATTGAAACCGATCGTGGTCTTGGCCCTGAGGCGCATGAAGGCGAGCTGAGCACGTCAGCGATGCTGAGAGTCTCCGGGTCGAAGTGGATGGTTTGGGAGAGCGAGGCGCTCATCGTGCCTTCGGGGTCCAAGAAGATCTTCCCCGCAAGGGTCTCCGGCATCGTGCCGGAAGCAGCCCTGGAAGGAGAGGAAGCTCAAGTAGCTTGGAGGTTGAAAGGAGCAGTTTTGTTGCAGTATTCAGTATTCAATTTGAGGCTCGTGCTTGTGCTGTGTGAAGTGGACGGGAGCTCGGGGATTGCTTTCTTGACAACGTAGCATGATAGAGCTTGACCCATTTATATATCTCCTGCGAAGCTAGCGGAGGGCTTGCAAGAGAAGGCACACTTGCCATTTGGGGAAGCAGCTTAGCAGCGGCTTGGTCGCTGTTGTGCGGTTGGCAAGGGGCCAAACGGCATGAACTTAAGGGTTTTAAAATGAACATGATAGCAACTGGGACCTCCAAAGTCAGGAACTGACTGGCACCGAGCGCCGGCTCCGCCAGGATCCACCCGATCCGCCAGAAGCTGCGCACCGAAGAACGAAATCCAGCGAGCTCACCCTGGCCTGCTTGCCGCGCTCCTCGAGCGACTGGCTCGAGCTCTCGGAGTCTGGAGAGCTTTCGGTGTCCAACGAGCACCCAGAGGCTGTGGAGCTTCCAGGGCTCACAGACCTTGGCTTCACGGGGCTCCAGGACGCCAGCGGCACCTCGGCGCCACTGCTGGTCCAGGTTTCGATACGAGGGGGTGTAGCATCGTATCCAGCCCAAACCGTGTCGCGGCCGTTGTTCTGTTTTCTTCTCATCCTTTTGTCTTGTTTTGCTGTTGGACTTGGTGTCCTGCCCCTTCTTCTCGTGTCCCGCAGACTTCATGGATAGACAGGCTGGGCATCGTCCATTCATGTGCCTCTCAAACGAGAGAGGCTCCAGTACCTCCCGTCATCTTCGCCAAGTGTGGAGGAGCTCCGTCCCGCCCTCGCTGCACGCCCCCTGCGCCTTGCGTCGCGCGGCCCCTGACGAGGCAGTGTGTGCGAGGTCCAGCGGATTGGCAACCGTACGACGGTCCTGGCGCTGGTCCCCCAGAGCTGGTCCTCGATCCGGTACCCGTACGAGGTCGGATGGACAAGCCGAAGCGGAAAGGCTCCAGAAAGCTGTTGGCCTTTCCAGTTCTTGGGTGGATGAGGGGAGGTCTGTTTCGGTCGTGATTGGAAGCCCTGTAAGGCACCCGTACGTAAGATCGCAGGGTGGCAAAATCGTTAAGGTATCACATAATGGTCGACTAGGTTCTGATAGGCCAATAGACTAGCGGACACGGTGACAGTCAGCAAGCACCTGGACAGTCAGCAAGCACCTGGGTGTTTTCAGATGCCTCGTGCCCATCGAAGACTCTTCCAGACTTTAAACCATTTATTCACACTGTTGGTTTTATATGTTTGTTCGGGGCAGACAGCTTGGTACCAAGTTCCCCCTCTTTCACCCCATGAGGTAACTGCCTCTGTCCTGCAGCCTTTTGTCCAGTAGCTGCTGTTGCCATGTCACTCGTTTCGTCTCCATCGGGCAAACAGTCCGGAAGCCCCAGCAAAAAATGATTCCTTGCTTCATTTGTTTCGTTCCATATTGCTTCTCTTATTTGTTTCTTGTTTTTTTTGAGTCCTGTCCTGAGTAGACCCTTTCTCCTGAGTGCGGATTTGTTTTTCCTAGTTGATTTCTATTTTAAGGATTTCGGCTCTGTCTGTTGAGCTCAGCCTCTTAACGGAAGAGGTTTTCCCTCCTTAGTTTTCAGCGATGGGTTGCCAAGTCGGGTGTCTGATCTGGAAGCGTAATTCCAGGAGCTCCCCGCACATTCCTGTGTGCCTTGCGCTTTGACTGGTATGCGCTAAGATGACTTGTTTGAGAGGCCGTCTCCGTGGATCTCAACAACTCTCTACATCCGGCACTGGAGCCGCAGGAGAAGCTCACTAGTCGGCCATGTTTCAACACAAGGAGGCCCTGTACACACGGCATTTGTACAAGAACTCCCATTGGCAGTTGTGCAACCCCACCTTTGAGACACAAATGGTCGGCCTGCAGATGACCAACCGAACTTCCAAGAGGCCGTTCCATTCCTGACTCTATCTCTGCCACTGCGCAGGACGGCGGCCGCACGCCCGGGCGCGTGGCGCCCTCGCGCTTTTCGGCCTCCTGTGCCACCGACCAGGCGGCGATCCGCGTCGACTTCGACGAGCTAACGGGCCTGGCCACTGCCTGGGGCTACGGCCGCATGACGAAGACAGGGGCCCGACGCAGGGGTCTTTGGGGTCCAAACTCGGATGGACATGGGTTGGGGTGCCCAGCCAAACAAGCGTTGGGGGACTGGTCGCTTTCTTCCAAGGCATTTTTCATTTGGACATCCAGACTGGGAGCTTGCAAATCTCGCCGGAGGCACGGCAGGGTAACGGAAGCAGGGAGTTTGGACTACCACTCGGAGAGAGAGGGGGGAGACAATAGACAATCAGATATAACACAGACACGCACACACACACACAAGCCAACCCCAAAAACAAGCAGCATGAACAAGAGTGGAGCTCACTAAATTTCTTCGGTTTGCTTGGAGTAAGTTGGAGGTTCCACTGGTCTGCCGGAGGCCAACTTGTCTGCGATCTTCGACGACGTTTTGTTGGATCAATCTCGTGCGGCGGTCCGCTTATCCTGCACAGTGCTGGGGCACTATGAGTGGCAAGTGGGAGTACCTGTGGCGCCCATCAAGGGTGAGATCGAGATCCTGGTGGAACTCTGTCAGTTTTAGACTGGTCCTTTCCTCAGGTTCGGTCGAGCTCTCTGAGTGAAATGAGTTGATTTTCTATGTTCTTGGCTGCCAATTGGTTTCACTGGTCCTGTATGTTCTGGAATTGGATGATGTACTGTGATACAGAATTCCACCCGGTTGTCCTAACCAGGACACTGATGCTTCCAAGCAGGATAGCTCGTTGATCCAAGACTTGCCCATTCTTGCGATGCTACCTGCACCTCCTGCAGCAGACACGGTTGGGCCAGTCCGTCCGGGTGCAGCTCAGCGCTCAGGAAGACTCCACTTGTTGGACGCCCGCGCTCCACAGCCCTCATGGATGGGCGGTGGTGGAGCAGATGAAAAGCAGCGCCTCCCAGTGCCGAGCGGCCTGCCGCGCCGATGCGACGTGCGCCGTCTACAGCTGCTCCGACGGATGGTGTCAGCCAGTGAATCTCCTCGCTGGTCAAGTAGCAAGATCCTCCCACCCAATGAGTTTTCGCGACTTCCACGACTTCTCATCCCACCGAAAGACGGCATAGATGGATTTTTTGGTTGGAGGGTAGTGGCGGACAGCGCTCGGAAACCCTTCAGCCACGGTGCCATGGGATCTATTGCCTGGACTTTAGTTTAGAAGACGTCACGCATTGCCTGAGGCCCATATCTGGGAGCATGTCATGTTGGCAGGTCTGCATTCATCTGACGACAGGTCGTCCCGGAAGGTTCCACCCGCCGTCGTTCAGGTTGGGCTGGGAAGTGCCAGTTCTTGTCTCCATGTGGGCCACGCCCTGTGAACTGCCAGAGCTTTCCAACAGCCGTTGAGCTGCTCGGCTGTGAAGACGGGCAATGGTGTTGTTCACAGCCGATGCCACCGGTGAAAGGACCGATTGGCCAACGGTGACGCAAAACGGTTTCACGTCCGAGTCGGAGTGGTCGGAGTGGTCCGACCGGGGCCGGCTTGTCGGGGCTTCTCGGGACTGGGCGCCTAAGGAAGATTGTGGGCTGCAGCATTGGGAGGACGGGAGGACGTTCGTCGAGCTTCGGTGGGTTGGAGTGAAGTGAGTGAAGCACCGGAGCGAGGACTGTGGGAGATCGGCGGTCCACTGACGCTAGGGATCCAACAAGAACTGTCCTAATGGATCATCTCTTGGCCCGATCCAAAAGGACATCATGGCCAAATAAACCAGCAGCTGGTCGCCTGGTCCCATTTGGTCCCCCGGTCCCTTCGGTCCGGTGGTCGCTTGGTTTGTAAAGAATGGTTCATGAGGTGTTGTAAAAATACCGATCATTGTTCTCCCATGTTCCTCAAATGTGCCAACGTAGCTTCCATTGACGGGCATTCGTGGATGCTGATTTTCGGAAGGAGCCGTTTCAACGTAGCGCACCTTTTGTGTGCCGCCCGAAGGTCAAATTTGGAGGAGGAAGTGCTTCCCCCCAATCCTCCTCCCGCGCCATGAAATCTGCACATTGTATTTCTACTTCCTGGCCTGTCACGAAATTTGTAAGCAGAACGCTGTACCTGCTACCTGCTGCCACCAGCACTATACCAAGTGCTGCTGCTGCTGCTGCTGCGCTGCTGCTGCTGCTGCTGCTGCTGGTGCTGCTGCTGCTGCTGCTCTTCCTGCTGCTGCTACTGCTGCTGTTGCTGCTGCTGCTGGTGGGAACATATTTGTTTCTTGTTATTTTTTTGATGCATGGAAACCCTGTCTGTTTTGACTGGTTCACTGGAAAACCACCCCAACCACCAGGAGCTGCGTGAACCTCACAGCCGAGACCTTTGTGTGGCGCTATGGGGGTGTGTTTTGCCCGGTGGCCCTGGGTGAAGCCAAAGGAGGTCGACTCAGCTGGGCCCCTGGGGCCAGACTTATTTGGCCTGTTGGTGTGTGGCAGTCACAGGAAGATGCCCTGAAATGACCGGTGTAGAATGTAGCGGGGGAAAAACATAAGGCGTAAGCGATGTGATAGGTTTCCTTTCTTTGGGGTGCTGCTTGGACCGAGATGATGGAACAGCGAGAGTTCTTATACCATTCGTTGTTGCACCATCCCACCTTGACCGAGAGGAGGGTCTTTACCCAGACACCCTCAGCACGGCTGCGAGACCGTTCTCGGCCCAGGTGTATCAGAAGCAGAACATGGCCACTGTGGAAGACATCATTTACTTGCAGGCCTCTGAGACCGATCCATCAGTCCGCTGCGGTGCGGGTGGCTTGCTCCTCATCAGGCAGGATGTGGCGGAGAGTGCCGGTCGAAATGGCCACGGGAGGATGGGGTGGAAGGAGACCTGGATGGTTGGATGAAGCACGCTGGCAGGTCAGTAGATATCAACGTCGTCCCTGGTTCAACAGCTGTTCTGAAAACATCTCCAGGCCGGCCCTTCGCCATCTCTTAGGTTTTGCCGAGCTGCATTTGTTGGTGATTTGGCCACTTTTGTGGAGTGTGCCACTTCCGCGTGGGGGCCTTCTTCACTGGTGGCGATCAAACACAACTTGCACCAGCGGAGATCAAACACAACTTTTTTTACATCAATGACACCTTGGACTCTTCCATTCAATGGTCGGTTATTCTATCCAACCGCCTGTTTGAAGGCGATCCAACGAAGGTACGCGCCTGCCGCGAAACCATGTTTGTGGGTCAGAGTGTAGTCATCCACGAAACCATGTGAAGTCGCAGGTGCGGAAAACTTATCTATGGCTATGGCTATATGGCATGTTTTTTTATTCGTACCCTTAAATTTGAGACTCGTAGAGGCTAGGTCGCAATTTTCACTCCAGACCTTGAGGAGCAACAAGTCGTGGGATTTTGAGAATATGACCTCCCACTACATCGAGCTCTTCGGAGAGCACGTGGCTTGCTTGGAGCTCTCAGGTGGTGGCAACACGATTCAGACCGTCTTCCGCCAGGGCGAGGCGCAGCTGAAGGTGAGCCACCTGGCAGCTGGTTTTGGAGAACGTGGGCCGGGCTGGATCGGGGACGCATGGATCGGGAGGGATTCTTTGCGAGGGATCCGAAGAACCGAGTCCAAGTCCGGACGTGAGCTGCAGCTGAGGGAGCTGGGAAGATGCATAGGCCGACTTGACTCGCGGGGCGAAGGCCGAAAAAAAACCGCGAGGGAAGGTGCGAAAGAGATCTAAGTGACGGTGAAGAACACACCGTCTTGGAGGTTGCCACCCACTGAAGTAAAACTGTAAAAACATGGAAGACATAAAAATAGACCCAAACATAAACATACATATATATCGTTTGATACAAGTACACTTAGACTTAGACTGACGAAAGCGAATTAGGTGGCAGTGAACAAGAGCCATTTCCATTCATGTAATCAAGGGGCTTTGAATGAGATGTGTGTTAGATACGAGAGGTTTCCAGACCCCGAAAGTGGCCAACACGTCCAAGCCTGGCTAATCTCTTCCTGGACATCTCTGAAATTCTAAGTTCAGTCCTGGAACCCTTCTCATCTTTGGGTTGAACTTGGCATTCCGAACTTGCTTGATGTGCATGACATGAATCCACGGGGAACATGGGTTTATTTGAGTTGTCTATTCATTTGATTTTGTTGTTTGAATTGCCAACTAAACCTGCTCCGAGGGGTGAAGCTTGAGGTCAAGCGACGGACGACGTTGGCAAGAACCTCTGCTTGATCCTCGTGCCACAGCACTGCGAAGCCCCACGCCTTTTGTCGAACGCGCAGGCGGAGGCTGACGAAGAGGGTTTGTTGGCGGAGGCAGTGATGATCGACGATCCTAGCACGTCCATTCCCAACGACTACTCCTTGCAGCCTGGAGATGACTTCTGTGGTTGCCCCCACACCGGTGCCAAAGGTGGTGAGTGAATGGAGGGTTGTGGTGCCCAGAAAGGCACTCACATTTTTGGTCAATGTCGGGTCTACCAACCCAATCCCTGGTGGAACTCCTCGAGGAGGGAGGTGGACCGAAACACATCTAGACCATGTGTATGAAGAGTTGATCCCCTTTCGGCCCTACCGATCACCTTTAAGCTCTCCACCATGCTTGTGTCGATGCTCGTGTTTTCAAAGGGGGCTCTCCATAGTAGGAGCCACGCCATCATGTTCCCCAGCTCCAGCATGACTTCTGGAAGAGACACCGATGATTCTTAACCAATTTGTTTTTCCCTTTGGGGAAGGAGGAGCCGAGGAAGTGTCTTCCAAGGGCTGCTGTACATCATTGGATCGTACTAGCTGGATTTGGCCAGCAGGGGATTCTGTGCCATCCTAGTCAACCAACACCCCTTGTCACACTTTAGACTTTACAGTAGATGTCGCGCTGCGATGTCGCTGCATATCTGCAGAGCATTCATTTGGTCCGTAGGTCAGCAGGTCCGTAGGTCCGGTCCGGCCGTGTTTGAGCGCGAGGAGTGTTCCAAGGATGGGATTTCACTCTTTTCTAGCAAGTGTTGGCCCTGAGCACTGGAGTTCTGGCTGGAGAATCATCTCTTTTCATTCGAACCGGAACCGTTCGATCGCTGGCTTCGGCCGGTGGTCACGTCGTGTCGCCCTCCGAGGCATCCCTGCGATTGTTTCCCCGTCTCTTGGGGCGTCCACTCGCCGGTGACGTCGCAGAGTTTCGCCTCGGTGGTGCCGGGCAGTGGGAATCAGTTCACCCCGGATCTGGTGTACCTTTTGGAGGCGCGGTCTGGGCGCGGTCTGGTTGGTGCACTTGGAAAAGAAGAGGAAGAGGAAGGCCGTCAGACGGTCAGGGACGGTGTTCCGCCAAGGAAACTGTGCAGAAACACTCGCAGCTGTGGTTGATCAACTTGATCGTGCTGTCCAGCACCCTGACAGGGCTCCTACATGTGCCCACAGGCTGGCTATTTGACGCATATGAGCGCGGTGGATCTGAATGGATGTCAACAAGCGTGCCAGATCACTGTCAATTGCAGCTATTTCTGGTTCGGTTCAGCCTCCGAAGTGCTTCAGTGTTGCTTGGACGGGAACAGTCATTTGCCCTGGTGTTTCAGAGGAAGTGGAACTTGCAGAGGAGAGGGCCGCTTCCAAAAATGGAAGTGAAACTAGATCCATTTGATGCAATGTCCTTTGGGATGTCACCACTTGTCAAAGAGATCCCAAACGGTTGTGACGTTGTGAGGTGAAGACCGGGGGCGGGCTTCCCGCTAGCTCGTCTGCTTGGTGTGCGTGTGGCTTAAGGCCAACCAAACTTGTGTCACTCAATGTCACTCCAGCGACTTCAAGCTGCGACTTGTTTTGGCTCGTACATTTAAGGCCTGGTTTGACAGACATTATGGGTGGGAGCATTAAGGTCGCCTTTACCAGACCTGCCCCAGCTTGGTGCTGCTGAATGGCGCGTCTGGGGTGCTGGCAGCTCTGGTCAAGGGTCAAGCTTGCCATCGAGCGAATCCGGAGAAGTGTTGGTCTTTCAGTGCCTTGGGCAGTTGAAGGAGGCTGATGGATGACGATTGAAATTTGAAACACTATTATTGTAGACACCTGACGTGTACAGGGGGTACGAGCAGATTTGTCTGTATATACAGTAGATGGAACATGTCTAAGTCTAAGTGTCTTAGTGCGGCATTTGTTTTCTTGCCTGCATGAACTGCCTATATATGTACCCCGATTTGGGCACCGAAAAGGACCACAGGAATCCGCAGCAAACGCTCAACCTGAGGCAAGCGGCGGGAGTTTTTGGGTGCTGGGACTGGGAGCGACCGGCAGCTGGCGACCAGCTCGGAATGCCTCTTTCAATCCTTGCTCGAGGAATGTGACCTCATGCAGCTGATCGGTGGTCTAGGCGGGGATGATGTTCCGAGGGAGGGCGTGATGACGGATGAGCCGAGCCGGAACCAGTTGCGATGGCGGTATGATTCATTCCACTCAGAACGAGAGTGCATGGGGTAAAGTTGTATCAGAGTTGTTTCGGGGCTGATTGTTGTAGCTGCATGAAGCTCGCATCAGGTGCAACGCACAAGGCCACGAGGGCTGAAAGGGACGGAAGCGACGACGGAAGCCACGGTGAACCTAGGTCCCCTGCTGAGGGCCCTCAAACTGGACCATTTACCTGGCAAAGTGAGGTGTCTAGGTTTAAGGTTTGCTCAACCAGATTCGACATATTTCGACATGTAGGCCTTGCGACCGGCGCTGGTAGGTGTGGGTAGGTCGATTCGACATGGTCCGTATATCTTTTTGTTCAGTTCCAACTTAATGGCCTCAACTCTACAGGGATGATTCTCATAGATTGGCCCGATCTGCCACCTCCGCTGGCGACCGGGGATCCCACATCGGAAGGTCCAGCCCTTGCTGCGCCGCTCTTTCTCCGCTGTTTGAGGTGTTCAACAGTGCTCCAGCTGCGCCTTTGCACCGCTCAGCTGGCGCGACACCTGGACTCAGAAGCGCCGCCTGCCCGAGACGTTGCGCGGCGGCGCCCGGCTGAGCTTCACCTGCTGGGCCGAGCGCTACCGGGCGGTGCCAGAAGAGCCAGGTGGGGGGAATCAGGACGATGGGGCTTTCACGGTCACGGTCACGCCATTGGCCCACTCCACACATGGCGAAACTCCAAAGAGCACTTCAGCTGGATTGGGTGCTTCGTCGTGTTTCCCGCCACACGGTGCAGTTGGTTTGGCCATCCCCAAGTCACGGGACCGCCAGGTGTTCCGAGCGACCCCTATGTGGCCCAGTGTGCTGGGAAGCACTGGTGGGGCGAGCCGTTCTCCGAGCCCGGGCTCCACTTCGCGTGTGGCGCATGCGTGCAGATCGTCCCGGTGGACTATTCCGACTTCTTGGACCAGGACTTACCGGTTTTCAAGCACTGCATTCGCAGGTTGAAGGACTTGACCATTCCGATGAACAGATTCAGGTGAGGCGTATATAGACCCACACCATTGGGATGAGCGATCAGTCAGACGGAAGCCACCCCAAGAAGGAAGGACTCAGATTGTTCCTTGAGGTCCAGACCACTGTCGTTCCCTGCCTCCCAAAGTCAGACATATGGACCTAGTGTGGTTTTTAAAACCTTTTTTTGCCAGTAGCTTTGGTAACCTATTTGAAGCCATGACCTGAACATTTTGCACGTTTTGGCGAGGACGCCCAGGAGCTGTATTTCTTGCCAAACCTCCAGGCTGCTCCACCTGTGTTTGGTGGAGGGATCAGCCTGGGCCACAATGGTCGGGCGCCAGCCCAGGTGATTCATGAGAATCCCTCATATGGGAGGGGGATTCTTGTGGGCCTGGTAGCCCTGCAATGCATCGATCTGCCATCAATGAAGTAGGGTACAGTAGGTAGTCTGGAACAAGGTTTGTCATGTGCTCAAGGTGGGCCACGCAGAGAATTCCAGAAATCTATTCATTTTCCCACCAGGCGAACTGGCAGTAATTCACTTGATCCTAGAGAAGCAAGAACTAGGTCGTCAAGCCGCTCAGGGTAGTGAAAGAAAGAACAAGTCCACAGCGAAAGCACGTCTCATGCTACAACTGTGGGGGCTTCTTTGGTTTCTTATTTCGTCGTGTAAGCAGTGGTTGAACTGTTACAAGCCTGCGGACCCGACCGAACCTGACCAAGACCATGTCAATTCCAACCTTTTTGGACGATGCCGAGGTTCAGATCGGGGTGGACCAGGCAAACCCGCTCATGCTCACAGTGAATGGCAAGCTCTTTGACGTGACCTGGGAAACACCCCCAGAGCCGCAGTTGATGAGGTGCGCCACCAGAGATTTCGGTTGTCGCGCTCGACCAGTCGCGCAGCGCTGTCAGAGATTTCGGCTAACGTGGACCCCTTTTCGAGGTATTTGATACGAGAACTGTGTCCAGGCATTGAATAGCATAAGCACCACCAAGTACCAGCAATCCTCTCCGAATTGCATTTCAGATTTCAAGCTATTTTGAGCTGTGGTTGATTCCCCAAAGAGTCGTTTCACAAAGCCCCGGTCTTCTGCTTCCTTGCTTCTAGTTCCCTACGACTGCTGCTATACCCGAAAGTCGGTCGTTGGCAAGTCGGGCGCCTCACACTGAAACCGGTTGGCTGGGAGCCATGCCCAGCCAGACAGACAGAGAGACAGAGAGACAGACAGAGAGAGAGAGAGAGAGAGAGAGAGAGAGGGGGGAAGAAGGAAAGGATCCCCCACACCTTACCTCTTAAGTGTTATAGTGTATAGTGTTCCAAGGAATGGAGAGGCAGTTTTGCTTGGGCAGCGCTCCGAGCCCCGGCGGGGTTCGGGGCGTTCTGCCCCGACGGGGTCCACGCCGCGCCGAAATCGGCGGAGGTTGGAGCTGCAGTCCAGAGGTGCCGTCCTGCGGCACAAGGGAGGGACGGGCGGCTGCCTGCACTGGATCGATGGGAAGGCGTGCGCGCAGCGAGAAGGGAATGAGCCTTGTGTTCCGAAGGTGCACCGGATTTGGGGCCCCGGGGGCGAGGTTGTTGAGCAATGTCAAGGACATAAGAAAGAGCTGATACTTGAGAAGGGTGGCATTTGGATGAGTTGGCCAGATAGGATCAGAGCTAATAGGTCCAATGTTTTGTGATGCGCAACCCGTGCCACAATGCTTTGGCGTTTGGTGTGGTCAGCTGCGCAGTGCCAGCTGGCCACGTCAATTCATGTGCTTCCTGCCACGGCCTTTTTGTGCAGGTCATTTTGAGCCCTTCCTGCCAGCTCTGGTGTCCCCGGACCTCGGTCTCTGGTTGCGCGAGGGGCCCCGGAGGAGGTCGGAGGATGTTTCGACGAGGGTGCGGTGGGGTGGCCCAGGAGGCTGAATGATGGCAATTTGAATTCATCTCCATGGTTGTTTGTTGAAGAAAGGGTGCGTGAGTGGCGCTGTGCCAACGAGGTCCTGGTTATCAGCAGGGGTTTGTTGGGAGACGATGATCTTCATGGACAGCTTTCAGGATGTTCCAGGTCTTGGCATGCCTGAAATAGAATTAAATAACACGGAACTCGATTTCTTCTTAGCTGGTGGGCAGAGCTGTGCTGAGGTGGCAAGGGAGGACCATGTTTTCCTATGCGTGGGCGCTATCGCTTGCCTTGACTGGCAAAACTCCACTTGGACAGTTCGAGAGGTGCCGGACAGCCCCAGCTGTCCCATCTCCTTCCAGCGCAGTGACTTGGCTGTATATAAGAGAGGCGTCTCAGCCACACCGCGCCAAAGCCTTGAAGGTCTCCCCTGCGCCTGGGATTCATGTGAAAACTACACCAGGAAATTCGTTTAGGCCTTTGGCAGGAAAGTCGCGCGCCTGTACCCTCGGGCGTTGACATGCGTTTGCTCACCTTCTTGACCCCATGTTTCGAGGCACAGCCTTTGCCGCTGGCCCGGACGAAGCGTCGGCATTGCTGCAGCTGCGGCATGGTGGCATGGAGAGGATCGCTGCCTGCTCTGAGGCCTGGTTGCCATTTTTCAAGGTCCAGCGGTGCCATTTTGACTCAAGGCACATGCGACTCGACGTGAAGTGACGCATGTGACCCACGTGGCTTTTGCAAGCAGACCTTGTCTGAGATGATGCTGGGATGGAGGTTTCCTCCCACACCATCATGAACCGCGCGAACCTACATTTTCTTGTGATCGGTCCAAGTACCTGATGGGCATCCTTGTGTTTCGTCCGCCCCTGAAATTACCAATAAGTATCAGCTACACACATTCCTCATATGATATAGATCCTGCATCACTTGGTACACCCGGAAGCTGCAGATGCAGTGACTTGGGGAATCCTATGCTGCTCCTGATGTTAACACATAGCGAAAAAACTCCGAATCAGCGACCAGCGGTCCGAATCAGTCACCACGAATCAGCGACCAGGAATCAGCGACCAGATGTCGGCAAAGTGCTGCGCCTGCCACGAAATCTGCACGTGGAGGTTCTCCAAGTGCTAGTGCTGCGCCTGCCCGGGACGAGAGCGCCCTCGAATATCAACAGTGGATCACACAAGTTACTAGCCAAGGGCCTCAGGGGACTTTTCTGCAGCCTCAAAGCTTTTGAGCTGGCATGGCAGCGACTCTATCGTAACCTGGAAGTCAACAAAAGAATGCACCAAAGACTACAAGACTGGGGCCAGCTTTGGGATCAGTCTTGGGCACCTGGCCAACATCCTCAAGCATTTACCCGATCGTGCAGCCGGTCCTGATGCCATCACCACCCAGCTCCTGAGAAATGCACCGGCTCAGGCTCTCCCGGTGTTACGGCAGATCCTTCGACAAATGGAGCTACAAGGACAACTACCATCACAGCTGATGCAGAGCCTCATTGTGATGTTGCCCAAAAAGACGAGAAATGCGAGAGGCCTATCACCCTCACATCGACGGTATACCGACTGTGGTCCAAGCTCAGGAAGCATCTCCTGGACACCGGAGTTGCCATTCAGCATGAACTATTATCGTGCACGCCCTGGCAGCCAAGCTCTTCACGTGGCATTGGCACGACTCACGGGGCAAGAAATCACAAAAAACCGCAATCAACATGGGATTACTGTCCTCATGGATATGAGCACCTTCTATGACACGATTGATCTGCAGACACTGGCTCAAGCTGCCCAACAACTCAACTACCCTCCACTGCCACTTTGGGCTTGCGCTCCAGCTCTACACTGGGCCTAAGGCCATGCTGGCTAAAGAAGAGCTCTCGGACTTCTTCTATGTCACTTGCGGCGTAGCCGCGGGTTGCCCACAGGCTCCACTACTGGCCAAAACTTACCTGGCTCCTGCTCTGCAGCCCTTTGTTCAGCAACAACCACGGCTACATCTCAATGGATGGGTTGACGACCTTGAGGCCGCAAATCCACAAGAAGCAGCGGGGCTTGCAGTCCAAGGGTGGAGAGATCTCAAACCACGGTTGGATCAACTCGGTCTTCGCGTCAATGCACAGAAGACTGCTTTCACCACAGTCGACCGAGCCACCACAGCTGCACTTCGACCTCTTCTAGGCGGATCATCTATTGCCCCAGTGCTCAGAGATCTTGGGATAGATCACCAGGCTAGGAGATTTTGCAGGATCCCAGTCCTCAAAGGACGCTTCCACAAGTGCACCAAGAGGAAGCTCAAGCTGCGCTCGCTGCGGTCGTCTCTGACTGCACAGAGGAGGCATTCAACCTGTCACCACCTGTCCCAGGGAATGGTTTCAAGATGTTTCAAGATATCGCACGATCCTTGGTAGCAGCTTGGGCAGAGCATCGCAAAGGTGGTCTGCTTGACATTGTCTATGACCTCAACGCCAAGCGCTACCAGGATCCCGGTGACCAAATCATCATCCACCACATCAAGGCCTTCAAAGCCCTGCTGGATGCTTGGCCGACGGATCAACTCACCCATGTTGCAGGAGCCTGGGCTCAACTACAAGAGCACCTTATGAAGCAGCAGCATCCTTGGTATCAGGTCAAGGGCCCTATGGCTGAATGGCAGTGGCTACTCCAAGACCTGCGTCAATCGTCCTGTGTCCGAGTATATGGGCCTGAGCTGCACATCGACTTAAGGGATGGTGGAAGATTGAGGATACCCTCTTGCAGGAGAGTGCACGTCAGCGCCTACAGTGACTAACGGGACCACAAAAACTGCCATCGCTTCGGGAATGGCATGGATTGGTATGTCTATCAGCAGATTGCCAAGAAGGCCAACAAAGAGGAAATGAATGCCATGAAGAACTGGGTCCAAAGGTGCCATCCGACACAACTCTGCCCACTTTGTCGAGTGCCTGCAACCTCCAAACATATTGTATGGCTCTGCGAATGGCACCATGGCCAAAAGCACACTGCTATGCGCATCTAGCGGGCCGAACGGGTCCACAACCCTGACGAGGAGGCGTTATGGGCATGTGGATGGATCAACGAAGAGAGGTACGAACGCGTCACTGGTTCTGGCACCCTCCAGGGCTGTGGCAACATCTTGAAGTCCTCTCCACGCAGGACCATGCTGGCTATGCCGTCACCATTGATGCGGCTCCCACCACTTACGATGTCCGGTCACAGGCCTGGGTCTTCGCGATCTGCGTCCACACACTCTCACTTGGGCAATTGCATCGGGTCGCTGCTATCACAGGCCTGCCACCTGGCAAACAGAGCAAAGCCAGTGCCCTTTTGAACTGATTGTCCTTGCCCAGCACATTCAAACACCGGTCAAGATTGTGATCCAGATGGTGTCTGTATGTATGGAATGCTTGGGCCAATCCCAAAGCTCGGCGCGGCTTCCAGGACCTGGCACAAGAATACTGGAAGTTCAACAACACAACGTGATCCCTCTCTACATCAGTCCAAAAGCAAGAACACCTGACCAGCCAGAAGCTGAACCACATCTTCGCAGGCGCCTTCGTGATGCTAGTCTCACGGCCTGGGAGCGCGCCGGTATGCTCTATGACCGGGAAAAGATCCAATCGCAAGAGACGCTGGATGAAGACCACCACCAGATCTACACCCAAGCGCTGGAGCGTATTTGACAAAGACCCACGGCACTACATCCAGGACAAACCAGGGCGGCATGTTGGCAAAAACACCAAGCAATACAAGAAAAGGCTCATCAAACAGCGCCAAACACCGCAGGATGAAGGACGACACCGTTGGACAGCACACCGAAGCGGCTACCAATGTGAGCTGTGTCCTGCAAGAATGCATCAAGGGCAGACCACATATGCGCTCGCTTGAAGGAGGATTGCCCAAGCTATGGCACATAGCCAACCTGCGGATGAGCTGACTTAGTGGCAAAGAGACCCACCAGAGCCCAATACATCCAGCAGCTTTTGCAGCAGCAGGAGGAGGAACCACCAGCCACGGGACACCACTACATCTAGGAGACCACCGGTTACCTCAAGTGCTCCCGCTGTGGCTGCGCCATTTTGAAGCGCTCGAAGGAAACGCTCCTCACAGAGTTTCTGCAGAGCCCATGCATTGATCAGGTCTAGGACCTCCTGCCGGGCACCCCTCGCATCTCCTATGACAGGTTGGTCACAAGGTGCACTGCAAGCGCTGTGGCCTCGGAGTCCTGACTGACAAACACAACCGGCTCATACTCACCCAGGGCCCCAGGGCCTCAAGAAACCCTGCAAAGGAGCACCGGTTCAAGGCAGCCAAGATCTGAAGACTTACTTCACCTCGGCAACACTGAGTGCTTCTACCAAGCCAGCTGACAATGCTGCCAATGAAGCACGGGAGATGAGTCCACCAAACCCCGGAAGGCCCTTGGACGAAGACATGGAAGAGGTGATGGAGGTGGACTTCTTTTGACATGCCACAGCGCATGTGGGCCCAAAATGGGCCTGAGAGAGAAAGACACCTCTTTTAAAAAACAAACCCATCCACCCACCCACCCACCCACCCACCCACCCATCCATCCATCCATCCATCCATCCATCCAAATCCCCACCTATCCATCTATCCATCTGCCTGCCTGGCTGGCTGGCTGTCTGGCTGTCTATCTGTCTGTCTGTCTGTCTGTCTGATCTGTCTATCTATCTATCTGTCTAGCTATCTATCTATTGTCTATCTATACATATTTTATAAGTCACATATTGAGCAACATGCATTTAGATTAAAGATAGTTACAAAAATGTACTGTCCCGTGCGCAAGGCATGGTGGACAGTCGCACTTGAAGTTAAGTTGTTGGAGCCTGACGTCACGGAGAAGTGACAACATGCTTTGTCACTACGAGACGTTCCACTGAGTTCAGTTGCGCCAGACTTGGAGTGCGCTGACTGTTGAAGAAAGGAAAGAGACCCAGAGGGGAAGTTTGCTGACAGTCAGAGGTGCATACTCGGTGCATACTGCAAAAAAGATATATTGCATACTGCAAAAAAGATATATTGCATGCCAGTTGATGGGCTCAATCTCTGCACCATCATTGTTTCCAAAAAGATAGTGTATAGATTAGATAGTAGAACAACGTTCATGTAGGATGGTCCACCAAGCTTTTGACCCAATATGACCCATACTCTCAAGCAACTTGGCAGCTTCCTTGCTGCTTCCCCTGGGCGGATCCGGGGTTCGATGGATCCGATGGATTGACGCCCGGAGGCGTGGCAATGGCCGCCCCAGCCTCTGTTGGCGCGCTTCAGCCCGCAGTCCGCCGGTGCCAGTCAGCACGCGAACGCCCCTTGGAGCATGCGAAACGCGTGGTGCTTCGCATCCGCCAAGCTGATGCTCAACCCACAGCGTGGTGGGCTGCAGCGTTGGGTGTTGGTGAGGCGAAGGTGACCGAAGAAATGCCCGGGCACTGTTGTTATGCTTTTTGATGAGGGAGTTGTCCAGGTTTGTCATTGAAGCCCTCACAGTATAGAATTCCAGACAATAACCAAAAGTTCTACCATAGCCCATGTGTTGGCCCATGGGGAGGATTTCAGGTGGTGAAGGGATTGATTGGACCCCCGTGTTTGACAATCACTTGTCCGGACCCATGTTCGCACGCTTTTCGCCGTGAGTTGTTGAGTGTCGCCCAAGCTCACCCCCAGACTTCACCAAAATGCCGCCAAGCCTCGCAGCTTGCCGGTTTCCAGAGTCAACTCCTCAAATCACCGGGGAGGTCTGGATTTCGTGAGGCAAGAGACGCAAAGCCGAGGTTGAGGTGGCATTCGCCCTCTGTGAGTTGTGCAGGTTCTGGTCCGTGAAGCGGGAACAGTCTCTTTTTGGGTGAAGTGATGGAGTGATGCTGTTCATTCCCAGATTTGTGAGAGTATCATCATCCAAGAACTTCTGAGGGATCCTCCAAGAAGGGATCTCCAAGAATTGTTGGAGGTGGACTTAGACTTCCCCCTGTTGGTCGAAAAAGATCGTTTTCCAAAGGGGCCAGGCCATCCACTTTCGGGTCGAGGGCCCCCTTCGGGCAAGCTCCATGATCTACCAAGCGATCCCTCCTCTTGGCGCGATCCAGGTGAGATGGATCGAAAGACGGACGATTAAGCTCCTGGAGGAGACCGGGGCCGTTGTGCAGTGCATGGCCGTTGTGCAGTGCACCCGATTTGGTCGATCCGGGCGCCGTGAAAATGGACATGGGAGCCCTGAGACCAGACGCTCCATTGGCCGATGTTTTGGGTTTTAAACTAGGAAGTGCCGTTTGGCAGTGTCCCACTCATCATGAAGCACCCAACCAGTGTATTCGTCTCCCTTGTGCGATGCGGCTGCTCCCGCATCTGGAACTTCTTGTCTCCTCGTGTTTGCGAGGAATGCTTGCAGTTCAATGGCAACGGGAGCTTGGCGGTTGGGAGTTGCCAAGTGAACGCCTCCTTCAGCCAAGCGTCGCTCTTTGAGAGTTTGATGGCGCAGCGCCTGGCTCAAGGTCTGTGGGTGATCGGCGACTTCTCAGATAGCCTTCCAGAAGTGAAGGCTGAGCAAGAAGGGTCTTTTTTCAGCATGCTGTACTACAAAAATTGCCTCAACTACGCGTTGCCTGGCTGCCTGGCTGTTCTGCAGGTGACGTCCCTTTTGAATTGAACCAGGGTAATCTACACTGATTCAGATCCGTTCTTGGGACACTTGATCTTTCTTTGAGACCTTCGTGTGCTTTCGCAGTTTGTCTGCGCAACCCTTCTTTTCTGAAAGACAGTTGTGACCCCTTGGTTTTTGAGCATGCAGGTGGTTTTCGACAACCCTTTTTGGGTGGGTGGGTGGGTGCCTACATCCTGCTTTTGATACAGCACCTCGCTTTTCCACCCTTAAAATCCTGTTGAAATTCACCTCATCCCTATGGACCCCGTAGCGTGTACTCTCAAGGTAGAGCAAAAGGGACGCTTAACGGCTAGTCAGGGTTAGCTAGGGAAGTAGAGCTGATCCTGTAAAATGCAGGTTATCAGCCGTAGGCTAACTAGATTAGAGCTATGGACCCGATGGATGACGACGTCGCGCCGAACTCGTACGGAAGTGGCTTTGACATTGTTCCGAGTATACCCAATAGTTTGGACGCAGTTCAACGACATGAACAAGCAGTTGCACAAGTGGCAGCTATGGATCCAAGGGTAGCTTCGGAGGTATACCAAGAAATGCTAAGCAGTGGTGGTAGTGTTACTCTCCAAGAGGCGACACGAGCTGCCATAGCAGGTATGCCGTCAGCCACCGTAACTGGTGTGCCAACAGTAAATAACTTGTTGGCAATGACTAGGTTCAACGTCGTCAACCTGAACGCTACATCAGGTGATGAAGAACTACGACGGGAACTACAGCAACATGAGTTGTTGCTCAGCGAGCAAGCTAGGCGTGAAGCTGAACTCGAAGCATTGCGTTTCAGGCATATCTATGAGAGGGAAGCTTCTGAATCGATAGCAGCAACAAAAGCCGCAGCAGAGCAAGCAATGCTGAATTTGCAACAGAGGGCTCAACAGCAAGAACACAATGTTCAGCAGTTGGCTCAGCATCACGACAACGTTGCGATCAAAAGGTTGCAAGGCACGTTGGAGGAGCAACGAGAGCATTTTCAGCAGCGATTAGCTCAGGCGACAACTGCTCATGAGAAGGTTTTACAAGAAAAGAATGCCTTGGCAGAGGAAGGCAATGCTTTTGTCGACAGGATGAGAACTGAACACCGTCAGTACACAGAGCAGCAAGAAGCAAGGCTAAAGGCAGCTTTAGAGGCAACAGACAAAGCTCGATCTACATCAGCTGAAGAAGCCCGTGTTGCTATAGACCTTGACTTCAAGCGTGAGGAACTGTCCAGTTCGTTGGCAATTGCACAGGCAAAGATCAAAACACTCCTTGGTGAAATGGTGCAGTTGACCGGGAAACCCAAGAGCAAACAATCATTGAACTCCGCAAGGACAATGCTTTGTTGAAGGGTGAGATGGATGAACTCAGACGTGTTGTACAGGCCTTGTCGAACAAGGAAGAGGAGCGCAAGGAAATCGAGCGCAAGGCTCAAGCCGCTAGCCCAGCTAAACCAGGGCCGCTGCAACCAGAGCAACCTCCACCCCCTGTTCAACCAAATGTTCATCCCGTTGGTCAACCTCGTTCATTCGAACCTCTTCGTACGGAAGGCACAGTCCCTGCAACCCTAGAAGGTTCGCCCGTGCCGACATGGTTGAGACTGCCTAAGGATCGATGGCCTAAGGGTTGGAAAGGAAAATGCAATGACCCACTTGTACCAATGTTGTTAGCATTGTACGGACACCCAGACAGTGGTGGTATTTGGGGGACGTACTTTGAAAAGCAAATTGGTAAGAAGGGATGGCAATCCGTCTTGAAAGAAATTTGGCGTTCAGTTTTCTATCATCCCGAATTTGATGCTCTCCTAGTCGTTTATGTAGACGACCTCAAGCTCGCTGCCCCAACCAAGAAGATCAAAACAGCTTGGAAGTCTATCTCAAGTATGATTGACATAGACGACCCAGAACCTTTTAATAGGTACTTCGGGTGCGAACATAGAGAAGAGCGAGGCATCAAACTCAACATTAAAGAGCATCCTTTCTATGACATATTCAGCACGGATAAATCCGTGGCCGCGCAAACAAGAACTGAAGACTACTGGTCTTACGACGAGGAACAAAACACATATACCAGACATCACCTGTATCCTAGGAAGAGGCGTTTTGTCCCTGTAGACCAAGGTCTTACAGTGCCTTGCCAGCATTTCCTCACACTAAGGACTACCATCAAGGACAACGATGACACTGAGATGCAAGATGATTGGACCGTAGATGGTGCCTACAACGAGGGGGGCTGGTGGACTGGGAAGACAGTTTTTCAATGCTGCCCTAACCGGCAAGCCGATGTTCCGTACCCAGAAGGCTATGCTATGGCAGGTCAGAAGAAAACGGGCGTAAGAAACAAGACTTCTGCCAAGCAAGCAGCGCGTGCGCAGAAGTTCACTAACATGTCCGACTTACCGGTCGTGAAAGGTGCATGCATGCGTAAACATGTTAATTGCGTTTACTATGACATGCGTGACTTTCTATCCTCATGCGTAGATGCATACTGCGACCTGGCCAAGGTCAAACGTAAAGACCTCAGGAAAGCATCGACGCCGTTTCATGAGCTTAGAATTGCCAGACCTCGTGAAAACGAGGAGCAACCTGAGGGACGTTTGAAAGGCATTGCCAGTCGGATCCTTATGAAAGTGCTATTCGCAGCGCGAATGGCACGGTATGATTTATTGCGAGCGACTCAGTCATTGGCTTCAAGGGTTACAAAATGGTCACCCGATTGTGATGTTGGATTGCATTGATTAATCTCATATATTAATTCTTCTTTGGACATAACCATGCGTGGGTTCATGGGCGGTCGTTTCTCTGAGCGTCAACTTTGGCTGTTTGCAAACGCTGACTTCGCCGGTGAATTTGATAATAAAAGTACCACCGGATCGTTCATGGCCTTAGTTGGCCCCAACACTTATTGGCCCATTAATGCCTTCAGTAAGAAGCAAACCGCTACTGCTATGTCTAGTACTGAAGCCTGAAGTTGTTGCCGCCAATCATGCTGTTCATGCACAAGGCTTACCTTCGCTATCTCTTTTCAACTACTTGATAGCTATGAGCGACCCTAAGTGTCCGCCCCAGGCCAAAACGCGTCGAGCTGGCGTAGCTGCCAAGCCAAAGGCGCCTACTCTGCACGAACCCGTGCCGGTCGCACGAACCGATCCTGAGTTGGATGAGATTAGATACGGTTTTCTCCATAATGGTCCTGAAAGTGTTGCTAATGTCAACCACCTTCAAATTCGCTTGGGACCCTGTTTCACTGTTCGTTTTATGGAAGACAACCAAGCCACCAGCACTATTCTCTCCAATGGTAATTCTGTTAACATGCGCCACACGGACAGGACTCAACGTGTTTCATTCAGTTGGTTAAAAGAGACTTTTGATAGTGACCAATTTGATTTAATTAATGTGAACACACTTCATCAAGCTGCTGACGTTCTTACGAAGCCTTTTACTTCCCCACAAAAGTGGGATACAGCACTTTACATGTTAAACATGGTTTCGTACATCTACCAGAAACCACCCAGCAAGGGTAACTCCTTAGCCGTGACGCCCTCAAGGGGCGATCCTGTGCAGTACTTCGACATATCCACCCCTGACAATTCGGACAATGAGGAACCGAACCAGGGGGGAAATGCACTGCCCAATCAGCAACCCAAGACGCAGACTAGGCTCATGGTTGAATGGTGCTGTTTCCAAACTGGGGCAACCAAGAGCTGCTGCAAAAGGATGCACCGTCTTTAGGGTTACCGAAAGTGAGGACGCCACGACAAAGAAATGTGTTGAACAAATGACACAAAAGACAATTCAATTTTGGAAGGACAATAACAAATGCAACGTCCACATCCACATTTCGCTCCCGTGTACCGGAGGGTGTCCATGGAACAATGTGAACAAGGACTTGCCAGGAGGAAAGGAAAGGATACAGCAGCATCAAAAGAAGTTTGCTTCCCTCCTCCGAAATGTTGACAAATTTCTTGAACGTATAAATGTTGTTCGACCTACGATTTCATTCGAACTTCCTTCATTTTGTGAGTATTGGAAATGGAAAAGCGTCAAGAATTTTAAACGTAAGTACCATCTCAACGACTATAAACTTCATGGGTGTCAGGTTGGGGTGACGGACGAACATGGGACACCAATTAAGAAGGGTTGGACCATTTCGTCCGATATCGAGGCGTTTGCTGCTCTCGAACAGCTTAGGTGCAATGGACAGCATGCGCATGCGCAATCTAGAGGTAAAGCACTTAGGGAGGCTGAAGGTTACACGTTCAAGCTAACCGATAAGTTGCATACCATGTTCAAGAACTTAGGTTCCAGTGCTGTTGCTCAGTCCTGTACTAAGGATCTCACTGTTCATGCTGCATGCGCCACCGCCAACCACACTCGCACTTGCACACACACTTGCATTTGCACCCACACTCTCACCTACAACCTCACCCACTCACCACCTAACCACCACACTCACTTACAACACACCACTACCAGTCACTACTACCCTCCACATACTAAGGTGCAGCTTAGGCCGCTCAATCCTTGCGCGGTCCGTGCCTCGGTCGACAAGCACCCTTTACCGGGTTGCCAAGCCATGGGCGAGATCAACGAGGACGACCTGCTGCAGATTGAGTGGGACCGGTATAGCAATGAACCCATCGAGCGATATCTTTCGGTGAACCACTCTCCGGAAACGGAGGAGCGTTGGACGAAGTTTATCGCATACGCCGTCTATCAGGGCATGCTCTTGACGGAGGAGGGTTCAAAGCAGCGCCACGATCAGCTTGTTGAATTGCTGCGCGCAGTATACCCAGTCATGCTCTACGACTGTTGGGTCCGTGACTATATATTTACTGATGCCATGAGGGGGCTTACAACATTGCATCCATCAATGTTTGGACACCTCAACGTGCTTGCGGAAACGCAACGCCGAAAGGCAGTGATTATCGTCACCGATTCAATTTTATGCTTCCTTAACGGGAAGCGCA